CCTTCAGGGACATTCCTACAGTGACCATATTTCCTTCCACTAACCCCTACCTCCTAAGGTTTACCACCTCTCGAGATCACCAAGGCTGGCATTCAAGCCTTCAAACTGTGAGACTTCAGAGAAACACTGTAAAATTCAAATTGTAAAGTGTTTTCTTGATTTTTTTAAAGTACGCGTGTTTCAGTATGTTATGTTAATAATGAAAATTTCACTAGTTTTAATGTTTTTAGCTTGAAATTGCTATTCCATACTTACCATCAACATAATTATATCTTTAAATGTATCAATGAAAATAAATTTAGGGCTGGGGATGTAGCGCAGTGGCAGCTATTACTTAGCATGCCCAGGGCCCTGGATTTGATTCTTCAGCATCACAAAAAATAAATTAATTATCCTAAAGTATAAGTCTTTCTATAGCTCTCTTCAACCCTTTTTTTTGGCTAGTTTTATTCTCCCTTTTTCTTTTTTCCTTTTTAGCAAAGTTCCTTCTTATTTTTCATTGAGCTTACGCATCATTTCTCCAGCCTTTTCCTTCCAGCTTTTTGTATTCTCTTTTCCCCTTCTTGCTCATGAGATTCCTTGATTATAATTAAAATTTTATCTTACAAATCAACTTAAGCCAAAAGGGTCTTTCAGTAGTATTTGTGAAATCTTCATATTAGTGCTTTGGTATCACTTATTTACCTGTCATTTGGTCTTTGTGTTGAAAAAGAACTTGCCCTGAAGCATAGTAGAGGATAAGAAAGATAGATGTCTGCAAATTTATACACGCACCTAACTAAATTAGCATAGAATGCTACTTGAATTTTTGTATTAAATTCTTAAAATTTTACAGTTTAGATATTAAAACTGTATTCTATCCTCAATTCAGTGGTTGTCTTTGTTTTCACATGTTTCCTCTGTTGTAAAATACTTAATATGTTGTTTTGTGATTTGTTTCCTCTAGGTTGAAATTCTTGAAAATGAGATTATTCAAGAAAAGCAAAGTCTTCAGAATTGTCAGAACTTAAGCAGGATCTAATGAAAGAAAAAGCTCAGGCTTGAAAAAACAATTGAAACACTTTAGAGAAAATTCAGAGAGACAGGTTCATAAGTTTTTTACTTAAGCAAACAGTGTACTCTAAAATCATTTAACAAAAGTTGTTTTAAAGGAATAGCAGATAAAATGTTCAATAAACATTAAAGGGAACTATTTTGGAATTTTTTAAGATTTTAAAGTAATTACAATAGCTGCCCCCCCATCAGTATTTGTCATTTGTTTTCTAAAGTTTTAATTACCTATAATCCTCTACAGTCCAAAAATTTTAAATGGAAAATTCCAGGAATAAACAATTCATAAATTTTCAGTTGTGTGCCATTCGAAGTAGTGTGATGAGATAAATCCCTGGAATAAAACCATCCATGTCCAGCATAGTCTTGCTGTTTATACTACCTGCTCATTAGTCATTTAGTAGCTTCCCTGGTTATCACATGTCTGATTGTCATAGTATCACAGTATTTAAATTCAAGTAACCCTTATTTTGCTTAATAATGGCCCCAGATTGTAAGAATAGCAATGCTAACAATTCAGATATATCAAAGAAAAGCCATTAAGTGCTTTTTTTTAAATGAAAAGGTGAAGTTTTTTACCTAATTACCGAATAAAGAGAGAAAAATATATGTTGAGGTTGCTAAGATCTACAATAAATTATTGGTAATTTCTTACTGTGCCTAATTTATGTATTAAACTTTATCATTGGTATGTGTGTATAGAAAAGAAAATATAGTAGAACAGGACTCTGTATTATTTGCAGTTACCAACTGAGGATTTATCCCCAAGGATGAGGAGGGACTGCAGTATATTTTGCCTCATTTCCTATCCCATGTAGTTTAGGAAAGTTGAGAAGAAACCTTAGAATTTTTTAAATTGCCAGTGTACTTAATAATTATGTATTATAAAATGTTTCAGTACCTGTGCTTTCAAGTGTCTGGAATAGTACTGCCAATTTTAAAGTCCCTAAGTGGAGTTGGTGAGAAATGCAGCTATACCTAGCTGCTAGTAAAGAGGGAGATGTGTTGTGGCAGCAAACATCTTGGATACTATTAAATTTGCTTTCAGCTGTGTATTGGTCATTTTTAACTATCTGAAGAAACAGAACTGGGTAGATTAAGTGATTTGATGTATTGAAATTTCTATTTATTAATTTGTTTTATATTGACCAGTCATAGTTCTCAGACCATCAGATAAAAATTCAGATTTCTTTAGGTTACAGAACAAAAATTTTAAAGCTAAGCATACACCCACACTTTCAGAAACTTCTCAGGATTAGTTATCACACTAAATTTTGTGAAACCATTATATTAGGCCATAGTATAAATTGGATAAATTTATTACCCAGTGAACCAGCTGGTTTGTTATTTAGATGTTTCCTAAGTAGAATTCTTAGGAATGAATGTGTACACACTCACATGTGCATGCACACACACACACACACACACACACACACACATATAATGTGTACATATTAACTGAGGATCCTCTTTGTATAGGCATTGCAAAAATTACTTAATGAAAGGAGGTGTGTACATGTATTTTACCTATATTTATGTCTGAATTTGAAACATGTTAAATGATAAAACTATCTGAAGATCATTTTTGATTAATAGTAATGCATTATATCTTAGTCATTTCTTTAGATTGTGAACTCCCTAAAAACATTAACTTTAGTGACCTGACAGTACATATACATAGTGATCATTCAGTAAATATTTGTTGGAATTAAAAATTAGACATACATTCTAGCACTCCTTAATGTTCTTTCTCTATTTTTGGAAGATAAAAACTATGTTCTTAATAATAACATAAAAATAATTTGGTTTTGCTCATTATAGTTTTTAAATTTTCTTTCTTTTTTTTTTTTTGAATTAGATTAAAATACTGGAACAGGAAAATGAACATCTGAATCAAACAGTGTCTTCCTTAAGGCAGCGGTCCCAGATAGGTGCTGAAGCAAGGGTGAAAGACATTGAAAAAGAAAATAAAATTCTCCATGAATCTATCAAAGAAACAAGTAGCAAGCTAAGCAAGATTGAATTTGAAAAAAGACAAATTAGAAAAGAATTGGAACATTACAAAGAAAAGGGAGAACGAGCAGAAGAACTTGAAAATGAGTTGCATCGTCTTGGAAAAGAAAATGAATTGTTACAGAAAAAGATAACCAATTTAAAAATTACTTGTGAAAAAATTGAGGCATTAGAACAAGAAAATTCAGAGCTAGAAAGAGAAAATAGAAAATTTAAAAAAACTTTGGATAGTTTTAAAAACCTTACTTTTCAGTTAGAATCCCTAGAAAAAGAGAATTCCCAACTTGATGAAGAAAACTTAGAACTCCGAAGGAATGTGGAATCCTTGAAGTGTGCGAGTATGAAAATGGCTCAGCTACAACTAGAAAACAAAGAGCTGGAAAGTGAAAAAGATCAACTTAAGAAAGGTTTGGAGCTCATGAAAGCATCTTTCAAGAAAAACAGAACGTTTGGAAGTTAGCTACCAGGGATTAGATACAGAAATCAAAGACTACAGAAAGCTCTAGAAAATAGCAACAAAAAAATTCAGCAATTAGAGAGTGAACTACAAGACTTAGAGATGGAAAATCAAACATTGCAAAAAAAACCTAGAAGAACTGAAAATATCTAGCAAAAGACTAGAACAGCTGGAAAAAGAAAATAAATCATTGGAACAAGAGACATCTCAACTGGAAAAGGATAAGAAACAACTAGAGAAGGAAAATAAAAGACTTCGACAACAAGCAGAAATAAAAGATACCACATTAGAAGAAAATAATGTGAAGATTGTAAATTTAGAGAAAGAGAACAAAACTCTATTCAAAGAAATTGGTGTATATAAAGAATCTTGTCTTCGTCTGAAAGAATTAGAGAAAGAAAATAAGGAGCTTGTGAAAAGAGCAACTATTGACGTAAAAACTTTGGTTACACTACGTGAGGTAAATGTATTTACCTAAATTTAAGACAAATACTGCTTGTATTTTTAACCCAATGTTAATGAGTTAGTTTTATTGGAATCCACTAGTAATTTGCATCATCTTTTTATGGTTAATAGGACTTTGAAATTAGAACTAGAAATAGCTTCCAAGTTTCCTACTTTTGTTAAACTAAAAGTACATATAAGTTGTATTTTTTGACATTTGTAGTATTAAGGTTTCTTTGGGGTACATGATTTATTACATTATAAAACTTTGATTTCAAAATAACATTAAAATATTTGATCAAAACTCTTCCTGAATACTAGCAGAAGCATGATAACTACTACTTGAGTGATTTATACCAATTACTGGGCTAAGAACTTGCATATAAGTTGTAGTTATGTATATTCATATAATTCTTACAACTAGTCCTTTTCAGGTGTTATCTCCATTTTTCATATTAGAAAGCAGGTTCAAAAACATGAAGTAACTTACTCAGGAGCACAGTTAATAAATGGCAGAGTTGAGCTGAGCACAGTGGTACGTATCTGTCATTCTATTTGTGCAAGGAGAGTGAATAGAATTGTAGTCCAGGCCATCACAGGCATAAAACAGAGACCCTATTCATAAAATAGCTAAAACTAAAAGGGCTGGGGGCGTGGCTTAAAGTGATTGAGTGCCTGCCTGGCAAGCACAAGGCCCTGAGTTCAAAACCTCAGTGCTACCCTCCCCCCAAAAAGTTGAATTTCTAGATTCACACTCAGATCTTTCAGACTCCAAAGCCCTGTAAATTTTGAGAAACCAGAGACTACAAGTCAGGTTCAACTTAAAGGTCAACACTGAACTTTTGAAATTTTTGAGATTTGATTGTAATATGTCCTATGAAACACAGTGGATATAAATCAAAGGATAGCATATTTGGCTCTTTTTTTTTTTAACTTTCCTATTCAATACAATATGTGATAACTCTTTAAGTTCAATTAAAAAGTCTCTTAGGGTTGAGAGTGTAGCTCAGTAGTAAAATGTTTGCCTAGCATGTGTGACACGTTGGGTTTAGTCGCCAGCACTACAGATAGATAGATAGATAGATAAAATAAGACCTTAGCGTTCTGGCAGAGAGTCACATTAGGCAGTTTGCATTTCTGCTAAAGAGGCATTGAGAAGGACCTTTTCATCTTTTTTCTTCTTTTTGTTGTTCTATAGTCTTACAAACAGAAACAACAGGTTCCTTGTGCCAGAACTTCTAAGAATATGATCTAATTCTTCAGATGAATATCCTAGGCCTCTTGCATCAGGAGAATGGTGGAACAGTATTATGTCCAACATATATTCATAGGAAGAAATACACACTAAGTCTAAATAGATAAGTGGTGGTGGCAGGAGTTTCCTCCTAATTTTTAAACCTAAGGTATATATTCACAAGTAGTTTTTCCCTTTTAGTTGTTAACATCAGAGTTAAAAAGAAGTATTAGCACAAGAAAATTGGAAAACATTTGTTTGAACCCACTTGTAACTTGTAGTTTAACTACCATTTTAATGATGAAAGAAAGGTTCAACAAACTGGGGATGTAGCTCAGTGGAATAACACTTGTCTAGCATGCACAGGGCCCTGGGTTTGATCCCCAAGATGTCCACCCACCCCACAAAAAACAAAGGTAAGAAAAGAAAGATTCAGTGACAAGCTTTCAGTCTCTACTGGTTCAGATTATGTCTTCTGGAATGATGGTAATTAGAATTTTAGCTGACTTTCTTAGATATTTATGTTTTTGTCACTTAAGTGGGTTGTGCATTCCTTTTGAAATAGGATTTGGTGAGTGAAAAATTGAAGACTCAACAAATGAACAATGATCTAGAAAAGTTAACTCATGAGCTTGAGAAGATAGGGTTAAATAAAGAGCGACTCTTACATGATGAACAAAGTACTGATGACAGGTGAGTACTAAGTATAGCAAATAGTTGGAATTATTATTTGTTGTGTTTTTTTTCCTCAGACATTAGTTTGTTCCTGTACTAGCTACAGAAAACATTTATGTCCTGTTTCTGGTTCTTTTCTTCCCTAAAGTTTGGTGAGGAAAAAAATCAAATGCAGTCTAAGGTTTCAATAAGAAAAAGAAAATCCCGTTATTACATAATTACAGAGTTGCAAAACTGAAATGCTAGCAAGTCAAAAATGAGAGATTGTAATTGCCTGTGAAAGTAGAATAAAATATCAACAACAAACAAGCCTTCCTCCTTTCAGGAAATACACAGTCAATTGAAACATTTTAATTTTTATTTGACTCTTGTGCTTAAATGCCTCAGTTCTTTCCTTTGTTTTGTTTGCCAAAATGTGGACTTAAAAAGTAGAGGGAAAGTATGAAACAAAGGAAAATATACTGAGAAGCAATTAAGATATGAAAATGATATGAAGAATAAAGGTTTGACAAACAAGATAAAAATTACTTCATATACACTTTAATTTTAAAACAATCACCATAGATTTAAATAAAATTTTCATTCTGCCATAGTAATCAGTCTATCGACTAGGATAATCTGATTTTTCATGTTATCTACTATTTTGCATACAATGGACCACATGATTCTAGCAAGAATAGTTTTATAGTGTTGAATAATTTATGTAGTCTAGATTTTAATTCATTGGAGTTTTTGTAATGAAATAATTTTCTTATCTACCCATTATTCTTTATATATTCTATATTAGTGTGTATAGAATAACATATACCAATTAAAGAAAATTAATGCTTATTAAATGGGATTTGCTAGTGTAATTTTAAAAATAGTCAAAATATAGTATAGATTGATACGTGAAAAGGTTAGATCTATAATAACAGAGAAATAATTTTAGGCATTTATTATATCAGTCACCTAAAGTCAGGAAACCATTATTGAATTAACACTACAAGTATTTCATAAGGAAGTATTTTCTTTGATTTATTCAGAAAGTTAAATTGACTGTCTTTTAATGTAGGCACTAAATACTAAATATGCATTAATTTTTTTTTTGGTTGTACAGGGTTTTGAACTCAGGTTCTTGTGCTTTCTAGGCAGATGCTCTGCCACTCAAGCCATACATCCAGACCTTTTTGCTTTACATTATTTATCAGATAGGGTCTTGCTTTTTTCCTGGGGCCCACTTGGCCCATAATCCACCTATCTATGGCCTCCCTTACAGCTGGGATGACAGGCATGCAGCATTATTCCCAGCTTGTTTTGTTGAGATGGAGTCTCACTAACTTTGTGCCCAGGCTGGTTGTACTGTGATCCTCCCATCTCTGCCTCCCTCAGAGCTGGGATTACAGTGCATCACTTCTTTATTCAGACAGATTACCTGCTCTATGTAAGACACTGCACTTCATGTTCTTGGGGAAAGAAAACATAGATTAAACCATGAAATTGCTCTGATGGAAATTTATGAACCCAGTTCTGGGTGGGCATTTCCTCCTGTTTAACATCTGTTCCCAAATTTTAATTTGTAGAAGAAACTGCTGTTGAGTTCTTAACCTCTGCTGATTATCAAGTAAGAAAGAAATGATAATGCTTCAGCAGACCCTTGAATGACAAAAGTTTGCCAGGTGGAAACAGTGGGGAAGGACATATCATGTAGGCAGAAGCATTTACCCAAAATTCAGTTGAGCAATTCTTAGAGTGATATGAAAGAAAAGCTTACAAGTTCTTTGAACCTTCTGTTGCCTCCATCTTGGAATTTATATCATTCTCAGGTGCTGACTTTAATGCCTGTTAGTCCAGTCTTTCTAGTTAATGTTATTCCCTCTAGCCTACTTTGAAGGTACAACTATTTTAAGATAGTTTTTCTTGTCATCAAGGAATATATAAGCTAGTTGTGGAATTAAATGTATAAACAAATTATAACAAAGTAAGTTCAGTGGTAGAGTTGTAAACAGATGTGATCACTCTTGACTCTTTCAACAGATCTTTATCTGCCATCTTTTCTTTCAGTACAGTGTTTGCTAGAGTTATGTTCACAGGCATCTTACACATTTCTTCTGTGTGGTGAGCATACTATCCATGATCTCACCTGAGATCTTTAGTTTTTTCCTGCTTAACATACATTTGCATAGTCCAGAGCAACTTGGACATCACAAATTCAACAGATCCAAAATTCGGACTTAGTAAATATTTAAAATGTTTGTTGGAAGATAACTGAAGATGGGCTGAGTGCTTTACTCTGCCTCCTCCTATGGCATGACCCAAGCCATGTAATAAATTTCCTTTCTCTGCCCTTCAAAAAGAAAAAAGTGTATTGACTCAAGCCAATATCAATTTTGTGAGATTTGTTCTTTGTATTCATTGAACTTAAAGTCTGATTGAGCAGAAAATATACACATACAAATTAATTATAATAGAATGCTGAATGTGATATTATTTCTCATATATATACTTAAAAAAGTTTTTATTTGGATTTGTCTTCAGGGTCATTAGGTATAAGAACTTGATTAATCAAAACCCTTGGTTTATGATACATTCGCAAGCTGTGTTCATGTACCATCCTTTTTGTTAAAAAAATTTACGTGGTTAGTCATATTTAATTTTTCATGCATTACATCATTCAAAAAGATAAGTAGAATATTAATAATCACATCTTTCTGCCTCTTACAGTTCTGTGTCTTGAGTAGTTCTCTTTTCTACTATAAGTACTCTATACTCTAAAGACAGTTTTCATTGAGTTTTAAGTCTTATCTATATAAAATCCTTCTATAAATACTGTATTTTCCAAAATTAACATAATAGGCAAATGCTTGATGATATCATAAGTCCATCCATTTCCTTTTTCTATCAATTTTAGTCATATAAAATCAGAATGAACATTTTTGGACTTAGACCTTCCATTTTTGAGCATTAATTGTTGCAGGGGTTTTTTGGGGGGTTGTGTATGTGAGTTGTTTTCTTTTCTTTTTTTAACTTAAAATTTTGAGACAAGGTCTCACTATGTAGCTTAGGTGGGCCTTAAACTTGCTCTTACCGCAGGCTGGTCTCAAACTTGAAATCCTCCTGCCTCATCTCCTGAGTGCTGGGATTATACATGTACACTCTACAGCTGACTATTAATTGTTCTTTTGAGACTGAAGGCATGGATCAAGTGGTAGAGCACCTGTCTTGCAAACATGAAGCCCTGAGTTCACACCCCTTTAAGGCCCAAAAAAAAGAAAAGTTATCTTGATTGTTCTTTTGACAACCTGGCTATAATTTGATTTCCTGACTGATTTTTGTTGCTTTGTGACAGGGTATAGTTTTAAAGGTGGAGTGGGGCAGTAAGAGGAAGATAATTTGTCTATTATAAAGGCTTTTATAAGACTCATTTATAACATCAATTATCTTTCAAAATAATTTTCTGGCCTGGAAGCATGGTTTAAATGATAGAGTGCCTGCCTTGCAAGCATGAAACTCTGGGTTCAAACCCCTTTACTTCCAAAACACAAAACAAAAAAAAGCAAATAGAATAGACGTAACACCAACTTGGTCTGGGAGAAAAAAAATATTTCTAACCTCCCATAATGAACTTTATTACTTTTGTTCTTGGACAGTAGGTACAAACTTTTGGAATCAAAATTAGAATCCACTCTTAAGAAATCCCTTGAAATAAAGGAAGAAAAAATTGCTGCTTTAGAAGCTCGATTAGAAGAATCTACAAATTATAACCAGCAACTGCGCCAAGAACTTAAAACAGTAAGTGATAGTCTTCAAAGTAATTTTAATTATCATCTATTTTGTAAATATTTGGACAGGAAAGTAAAAAGTATAAAATAGAAACTAAAAGCACACTGTAATTCTTCCTTTTTATAAATTTGAGAATAATTTTCAACATCTTTGTCATATGGATATGCTAAAATTTATTCAGTACTATTTCACATATTATGTCTCCTTAAAGTTGGGACATACCAGAATTGCAGGATTGGAATGGGGAAGAGATAGACGTACTTCATTGAGAAAACTCTCTCAGCGTGATACTGACAATTCACTCTGGCACTCTTTTTTTTTTTTGAGAATCCAAGTCAGATTTTGATAGTCTAAGATAATGCCTGTGAGGATACCACATAGAAGAAATCATATTTGTAGTATAAGAAGGCAACTGATCTTCTCATAAGTTTGAGGTCCCTTTTTGATCAGTTTACTTGTGATATTTGGGGTTATTCAAGGAAGTAAGCTCAGTCTGTTTAAATTGAAATAAAAGTGATTTGTCCATTCCATAGGATTAGTAGATAGTAGAGTCTTATTCTACTTTGTTCTTCCTTTTATCATCTCTCTGTTGGCCTACTAGAGGGGTCCCATAATCAACAAAACATAGACTGACAGGATTACTGTAGGCCACATTGAGAACTATTCTGTTCAGTACACCAGAGAAGTTCAGAAATAAGGCTTTCTGTAAGGCGTTTATAGTTCTTCTAATCCAGATGCAATTTACAATCAGGGGGTCATTTTTTTTTCCTCTAGATTTTCTAGATTATTGCTTCTAGAAAAACAGTTGACCAAAGTTGAATTTTTCATGCAGAAAGGGAAAAGCTTTTGTTCACTTTTCCCACACCATCATTGCTGGTATTTATCACAAATTTGTCATGGAACATATATTGTTCCAGAAGAAATTTTAGAACTTTGCTTAGTTAACTAAATGGTTATCAAAGAATAATGTAAAAATTGGTGCCATATTTTATTAATCTGCTTTGTCCTGAATTTTTACTCCCATTAAGCAGTATCAGTGGGTCACAAATAAAAATCAATTTCATGAAGCTACTCAGCCCCCAAAAATAATGGGTTTGGGTATGCATTGGTGTTTGTCTATTTGAAGTCTAAAAGTTAGAGATTTAAAATTCTATTGTTGTCTTCTACTTTTAGCCATTTTGGTATAACTTCTATGGACTAGTTTATTGCCATACTTATGGTTTCAACTGAATTCTACTGTTCTGAGCTTTTAATAATATACATGAAAAGGAATATCACTTGAAGACATATTCTGGAAGTTAAAATTGGATAGCATAAGGCCTAAATTAGTATGACAAGAAGTATAGCTAGCCGGGCGCCAGTGGCTCACACCTGTAATTCTGGCTACTTAGGAGACAGAGATCAGGAGGATCATGATTCATAGCCAAGCCCAGGCCAAATAGTTAGCGAGACCCTACCTCAAAAAAAAAAAAAAAAACCTTCACAAAAAAAGGGTGGTGGAGTGCCTCAAGGTGTAGGTCTTGAGTTCAAACCCCAGTGCCGTGCAAAAAAAAAAAAAAAAAAAGGGAAGTATAGCTAATATAACTCCCCTCCCCCCCCAAAAATAAGATAATATGGAATCATAAAAAATAAATTTAAATGAAAGAGAAAAGAGGAAATAAAGTACAGATTGGATGAATAGAAAACAAACAATAAGGAGGCAGTTTTAAACCAACCATATCAATAATGACATAAAGTGTAAAAGGTGTAAGCATTTCTGATAGATTAATAACTTACACAAAAAAGATCCACATATAATCACCTTTGATGAAAAATGAGGTATCATTCTAACACTAATCAAAATAATGTTGGAATATAAGATTTTTAATTTAGAAATTTAAAATGACAATTTCTCATATACCTATGGGTAAACATATACCTAGCCTATGAAATGATAGTTCTACTTCTGTTTAATCAAGGAAAATGAAACATAAGTTGTAATGGCTCAATTCATCATATTCCATTTTATATTTATTTGTTAATCTTTATTTCACAATACTAGGGTTAGAACTCAGGGTTCACAAGAGTGCTTGCTAGGCATGCGCTCTACTGCTTGAGCCATACCCCAGCCGTTTTTGCTTTAGGTGTTTTTCAGATAGGGTCTTGCTTGCGTTTATGCCCAGGCCAACCTAAGCTGCAACCCTCCTGTTTATACTTCCTGTGTAGCCGGGATGACAAACATGTGCCACCATACCCAGCTTTTGTTGGTTGAGTGGGGAGCAGGGGAATCTCATGAACTTCTTTGCCAAGGCTGTCCTTGAACCATAATTCTTCCAATCTCTGCCTTCCAAATAGGTATGAGTACAAGCATGAGCCACCAAGCCTGGCTGATCCTTGTCTTAATATAAAGTTTGGGGTTAACTAAAAATTTATAAGCATTTAAGATAAAAGCAGTGACTCAGGATAAGCATAGTAGTAATAAATTTAAATTGAAGAGAAAATTTAAGTTAAATCTGGTAATTTTGATCATATAGGATGAACAAGTTGTTAGTACTTTAGTTAGCAAGTCAAGGATATATCTTATCCAGGACATTCTGGTGTTTTTACAATCTACTTTAGGAGAGTTGAGTCAAAACTAAAAAATCCTGTATAAGATATATCCTTGAAGGGGCTGGATGCTTGTGACTCACTCCTTGGCTACTTGGGAGTCTGAATTAGGGAAGATCACGGTTCGAGGCCAGCCCTGGCAACTAGTTTGTGAAACCCCCATCTCCAAAATAACCAGAGCAAAATGCATTGGAGGTGTGGCTCAAGCTATAGGATGCCTATTTTGCAAGTGCAAAGCCCAGTCCCACAAAAAAAAAAGATATATCCTTGGGGACTAGAGGTGTGGTTCAAATGGTAGGAGCCCTGAGTTTATACCCTATTACTACCAAAAAAACAATATATTTTTAGATTGCCCATTTTTTTTTATTCATATGTGCATACAATGCCTGGGTCATTTCTCCCCCATGCCCCCACCCCCTCCCTTACCACCCACTCCACTCCCTCCCTCCCCCCCCCATACCTGGCAGAAACTATTTTGCCCTTATCTCTAATTTTGTTGAAGAGAGAGTATAAGCAATAATAGGAAGGAACAAGGGTTTTTGCTGGTTGAGATAAGGATAGCTATACAGGGAGTTGACTCACATTAATTTCCTGTGCATGTGTGTTACCTTCTAGGTTAATTCTCTTTGATCTAACCTTTTCTCTAGTTCCTGGTCCCCTTCTCCTATTGGCCTCAGTTGCTTTTAAGGTATCTGCTTTAGTTTCTCTGCGTTGAGGGCAACAAATGCTAGCTAATTTTTTAGGTGTCTTACCTATCCTCATATCTCCCTTGTGTGCTCTCGCTTTTATCTTGTGATCAAAGTTCAATCCCCTTGTTGTGTTTAGACTGCCCACTCTTAAGATTATCAAGATCTAAGTAAGGAAGTCACTTATTTATTAACATAGTTCATTGTAGGTAACATATTCTTCTTAGAAGAGTAGATATTTACAGATACTTCCTTAACTTTAGGTATCTTTTTAAGACAATGTGTAAACTACTTGTTCTTTACATAGGGTTCTCTGTGAAATTTCTAAATTGGTTAGAGATAGTTCTAAAAATAATTGTTACTGTTTACCAACATATCTGTGTTTAGCTAGTCTGTTCTTGAGGGGAATTTTCATCACGAGCAATAAGATTTGAAATTTGAGTATATAATAGGAGCATGCACAGAAGCAAAGTATACTTTAATATTTCTAGGAGGAAAAATTTGCATTTTAAAGCTCAAATTGTATAATGATAATAATGATATTTATACATTTTACTTATCTCATGTTTAAAATATAGTGTCACATTCACCAGACCAATGTAGAGCCAAATTAATTGTGAGAAATGTAACCTTGGTGATTTTTTTCTCCCCATTTAAAATATTTGCAATAAATTTTAGGTGAAGAAAAATTACGAAGCACTCAAACAGAGACAAGATGAGGAAAGGATGGTGCAAAGTTCTCCTCCAGTATCTAGGGAAGATAAATGGGAAAGAGAAAGTCAAGAAACTACTAGAGAGCTTCTAAAAGTTAAGGACAGATTAATTGAAGTAGAAAGAAATGTGAGTATTTAAAAATTTTTAAGTAAATGTAAAAATGATAAAATAAAAAGAATAAAAATGTTTTAATAGGAACAAAGTGGTTTAGAAATAAATGGTTATTTGACATATTAAACTGAAATAAATTAGGTAATTTAATACAGTTTTGTGGTTTTGTTAATTTTATACTTTCTTTTTTAATTGGTTTATATAAAATTGTACATTTGTAATTCCAAAACTTGGGAGGCTGAGGCAGGATTGTTAGTGTGAGGTCAGCATGGGATACACAACAAGACCCTGCTTCAGGAAAATCAGCAAATCTACCCTGCACCTCACCTTCCCCTACACTTAAAAATACAAGAGTTTTTTAGCTGCTCAGAGGTATGTTTGTGAGGGTGTCACTTGGATTCATAATTATAGTTCAGAAAATTGGATTAACACGTCAAGTTCTGTGAGGTGAATCTTTTCCCCATTAACTTCCTTTATAGTTTTCACTGGAAGAGCATCACTTGTTTGTCAGATTTTAGTCATTTAAGATAATGAGGGTTTGGTTTGATTTTGTGTTTTTTGCTGTTGTTTTCATACACTGTCTTGCTATATATAACCCAGGCTAACCTTGAACTCAGGGTGCTCGTACCTCAGCCTGTGTTGGGATTGCACCTGTAATCACCTGTGCTATCATTCCCAACTGTAGTAGCCCTGTGGTTAGCCATGTTATAAATTGGTAATTTTTGTGCATTTGCCTGTATTACATTGACTAAATTTGTACTTTTTCATTCTAAATTTTTTTCCTGCTCTGTGATATCCTTTCTATGCTCATCTGTCTCTTCTGTTGATTTTGGACTATAGAAGTTTCCTTATTCATAGGGATACATACATAAATCATTAGGGTTTATACAATTTAATTTCTAAAGTGCTAACCTGCAATATTGTTTCATATACGTAAGTGAAAAAATGGTTCACCTTTTTATGTCAAGATAGTATATAAATATATCAGTATCCCATATTATTTTCATCCTTAAGTTGAATAGCTGAACAAAGGGAAGAATATGGTATCAAAACCTGTCTTAAAGAATTTTATTTCCTCAGCTTTTCTGTGTGTGGTTTTGTTGTTGTTTGAGACAGATTTTCTATGTAGCCCATGCATCCTATAACTCATGATGTGTATCCCACGCTGACCTCAAACTCATGACCTTCTCCTTACCCTCCTGAGTACTGAGATTACAGGCGTGTACCACCATGCCTGACTTGCTTCCTTAGCTTTGATTTTACGGTATATAATTCATAGGTCAAATCATGATCTGCCTTTTACACAGTGACATATGGTTTATATAATTAATGTAAAAGTAATGATTATACAATGTAGAAGTGATTATGAGTGATCTGCTGTGATTCAGTTGTAACTTTTTGCATATTGCAGTGATAATTCAATTTATGGCCTTTTTATATTTAACTTATTTCTATTATCTGGTAGCTTCTTTAATATTTTTGATACTTATTTATTTTTCACTGGTACTGGGGTTTGAACTCAGCTTTGAGCTTGCTGGACTGGCACTCTACCACTTGAGCCACACTTCCAGCCCTCAAGACCTTTTTTTTTCGGGGGGGTGGTATGGGAGTTGAACTGGTTATTTTTTATGAACTTTAATTTATAAATAATCTTGAACCTGGCCAGATACCATGGCTCATGCCTGTAATCTCAGCTACTTGGAGGTTTGAAATCAGGAGGATCAAGGTTCAAGGCAAGCCCAAGGAAAATGTTAGCAAGACCCAATCTCAGTCAGTAAGAAGCTAGGCATGGTAGTATGTGCCTTTGATCCCAGCTACAGAGGAAGCTGAAGTTGGAGAATTGCAGTCTGAGACTGGCCCCAGGCAAAAACCCTACCTGAAAAACAACTGAAGCAAAAAAGGAGTAGGGATATAGTTCATATGGTAGAGCACCTGCCTAGCAAATGTGATGCCTTTGGTTCAAATCCCAGAACTACCAAGAAAATCAGTAACAACAATACTAATAATCTTGAACATATAATACCCATGGTAAGCATTTTAATGTCTATCACATTAAATATAATGATCTATGATTTCTGTTGTAATCCATCTGTTTAACTATAAAATTAAAATATGGCCATATATTCTGGAAAAATTGAAAATGGTATGTTTTGTTTGGATGTGTTTCAGAAGTTCTTATAGTTGAAATAGAGTTTTAATGAGTGTTTTATACCATTGAAACAAAACAAAATTTGTAACATCTGTTAGGTCTATTATGGATAAATTTTTAAACAGATAGTATAGATTGTCTCTGTAAACCTGCTTCTCTTCCAGACATTTGTGCTTGGAAAATACTTAGTTTTACTGCTACCCCTGGGACCATCATGTCTATAACATTTGTCTTTGGGTAAATTAGAGGAGGCACAACTTCTTGGCTAGATATATCTCTTCTTAGTACTTTTGAGCAGACAGCCTTATTCTGGTTTCTCCTGTTAATAAATACATTTAGAGGCTCAAGTAGTAGAGCACCTGCCTAGCAAGCATGAGGCCTGTATTCAGGCCTCGATGCTGCCTAACTAAGTACATTTAGAATAGAATATTTTACTTTTAGGATATTATAAAACAGAACACAAGCACAATCTTGTATGAAGGTTGTACTATTATTGCCTTCTTTTTCTTAGATTAAATGTTCACAATAAGAGATTTGAGGAAGAATGTCCTTTTTTTAAAGTTGAAGGTTCTTTTTAATTGTAAAAGCAATAAATACTGATCATATAAAATTGTAGTATCTTAAAGAAAAATGTGGTTGACAAGTTTTTTTAATATGTGTGTGTGTGTTTTTGGTTTTGTTTTTTAAAGAATGCTACATTACAAGCGGAAAAGCAAGCATTGAAAACTCAACTGAAGCAACTTGAAACACAGAACAATAATTTGCAGGCTCAAATTCTTGCACTTCAGAGGCAGACAGTGTCATTACAAGAACAGAATACTACTCTTCAAACACAGAATGCCAAGCTTCAGGTTGTAATGTAATATTTGAGAGCTATTAAACACTTGAAATATTCTATTAAAATAAGGGAAGCCTTACACAGAAACTTTGTTTCTTAGTGAGTGAATTTAACAATTGAAGACAAAATATTTTTATTTAGTCCCATGCCAGACTTTTAAACATCAGCATTTTCAAATGTCAAGGCTGCTAAAAATTAATAAATTCACCCAAAAAAAAATAACTAAAGGTATTTTTTGTATTTACTTTATGATCTTTCCATCATTTCAGTTAGTCATGTATGAAGCCTTTCTTTAGAGTAAGGTTGAAGCAAATTAGGCCTTATTTCATTTTTTCAGCTTTCTTATCAGTTTACTTAGTAGCAAATACACAATATGGGGATTTAATCATTAGACTTAGTTCAGAGGGTTCATCTTACACTTAACACTGCCAGTGTTTTTTTCAGTAGGGAAAAATGTAACTCTCAAATCTCTTAAAAGAAGTAACAAACTCCCTCTCTGAGTCTAAAAGTTCTTTCTGTTACCCTTTTCCAAGTGGTAAAGAAAATAAATACTATTTGTACTTGAGAAATTCTCCAAAAATAAAATTTCGGTTTTTTAGCTCCCAAATTCTAGAAATGATAGACTAACATTCAAGTTTTTTATTTTCTCATAGTGGAATACAAGTAGTTGCTAATCACCTTCATTTAAACTTACAATACATGTTTATGAATGTGTATGTATGGGCAGGCATGTGTGTGTATATAACACCTCCAGAAATAAAAATTAAATGGTAACCTTATTTTTTGGGAAGCTAAAAATCCAAATTTCCCCATTATGATATGAACATATCTGCTATGATTTAATTATAGCTTCTTTAAATTAACATTATAATATTTTGGTTTTATGAAAGAATAGTAAGGAGGCTGAGGACATAGCATTAGTGGTAGGTAGAGTGCCTTCCTAGCAAGCACAAGGCTCTGGGTTTAATACCCAACACTACAAGTGAAATGAAATAAGGTAAAGTTGCATGTGATTTCAATATGGCCAATAAGGCTTAACTGGCTCAGCCCTAAGTTAAAACTATTTTTCTTATATCTGTTAATAATATGCATTCTTACAGGTTGAAAATTCTACCCTTAATTCCCAAAGTACCTCACTTATGAACCAGAATGCACAACTCCTAATCCAGCAGTCTTCCTTGGAAAATGAAAATGAATCTATAATCAAAGAACGAGAAGACTTGAAATCTCTCTATGATTCTCTGATCAAAGATCATGAAAAGCTGGAACTTCTTCATGAACGGCAGGCTTCAGAATATGAATCTCTCATATGTAAACATGGAACTTTAAAGTCTGCCCACAAAAATCTTGAGGTGGAACATAAAGACCTTGAAGACCGGTAATTTATAATAATTTTGTTGTGCTGTTAATTTGAAACAAGTATTCTTTAGGTGGTATCATAAATTTTATACATTAAACACATCTGAGAGGTAATTTATGAAGGAAATTTATATAAATTTACAAGCATTTTATGTTACTCTTGTTCATTTCTAAGATGTTTTCTTCTTTAAAAATAATATAAACCAAACACCTTATTTTTGCCCCCAGTTATAATCAGTTATTAAAACAAAAAGGACAATTGGAAGATTTGGAAAAAATGCTCAAAATAGAACAGGAAAAAATGCTTCTTGAAAGCAAAAACCATGAGACAGTTGCTGCAGAGTACAAGAAACTGTGTGGTGAAAATGACAGGTAATGAGTAATTGTGTATTTTAACTATGTATTCCTATATCTGAAGTGTATGCTGCCCCTTTATAATAATAGCAGCCATAATTTGAACTTAGAATTTTAAGTTCAAAAATAAAAAAAATAAATTGTTTGATACAATTCCTAATGCAGTTAATTTTTTTTTTCTTATAGACCACAGAGCAGTAAGTAAATTACTCAGCAAAATTGCTTGGCTAATTATGGGTTCACTCAGACAAAAACTTAGTTCTCCTGTTTTCTCTTATTTTCTTTTGTTTTATTCACCTAATTAGGTTTTTAAGTTACATTATTTAATAAAATTTCTAAACCTGTAGTATGCTTTATTGAATTAAATGTAATAAACCTCATTGTTTATGTCTTTCTCTCTTTTTACTATTGTGATATCCCAATTCTTGTCTTTCAAAGTGGTTACAAATAACCAGCCTTATAATTTCCTGGATAATTGATTTGAACTTACACTTTTAACTATAATGCATTAATGCTTTTACATTATCACAGGACAGTTATTTTTTAATTGAAAGACTTGGGAAGTCAGAACTTGCCAACTGTAACTAGCCTACCTTAAAACGTACAATTTTGAAAGTTTTCAAGACCTTTAAAATGTTTGAATGACTGAAGCATTTGCACTTCACTTTAACTATCATAACTGAAGGACTTAAAGGCAGCACAGAAAATTCAAATAGGTATCATTTAATGACTATTTGTTCCATTATGAATTTAGTACAATGCAGCTTTATAATTGAACCACTTTCCTTTTTAAAAATCTCTAACTTGGGTGCTGGTTGCTCACGCCTGTAATAGTAGCTACTCAGGAAGAGCACCTGCCTAGCAAGTGTAAGGTCCTGGGTTCAAACTCAGGTGCCTCAGGAAAAAAAAAAAAGTTACCTCGCTACTCAGGAGGCAGAGATCAGGAGGATCTTGGTTTGAGGCCAACCTAGAAAAATAGTTCATGAGACCCTATCTTAGAAATAGTCAACACAAAAGAGGGCTTATGGAATGACTCAAGTGGTAGAGCACCTGCCTAGCAAGTGTGAGTTCAAACCCTAGTACTGCCAAAAAAAAAGAAAAAATCCTTTCATTTCTAGAATCATCTTCACTTTCATGCTTAACAGTTTTTAATTTAGTTTCCTTTAGTTGTTATAGCTAGAAATTCTCTACTGTTGGGACTGGTGGTGTGGCCCAAACTATAGAGTGCCTACCCAGCAAGTGCAAAGCCCTAAGTTCAAACCCCAGTACCACACACACACACTCAAAAAATTCTTTCCTGGGAGATTTGAACATTAGTAAGCTCAACACCATGCTAGAATACAAGACTGTAGCTTACAATAAAGAGGATATACATGTATAGTATATGCAGCAGAAGAGTAAATTGTGACAAGTTATATAATACAAGGATAGGGTCGATTTTATTATATACCAGACATTTACTATAGTGTTCCTATATTTTAATTTAGCTAACCTTTTTTTTGTTACTGGGATTCAAACATAATTGGGACAGTCCCTAAACTTAAGAAAAGTTTTTATATTTTGAAGGATCAGTGGGGTGGGAAGGAAGGAGCATGCCATAGAAAGAGCATGTGGGCTACAAAGCCTTAAGTATTTATTTTCTGGTCTCCTTTATAGAAAGTGTGTCAATCCCTGTCCTTAGAAATCAGTGAACCTCGCTCTAAAGGTAAATCATGGGAAGAAAAAGAAAAGGCTACAGTTCAATTTTTACAAAATAATAATGGTGTATTGCATAAATATTAATAACTTGCTACAACTGCAGAAATCTCACCAACTAAAATTTGGTTTCAGTGTGTCATCTCAGTTATCAGCAAGCATATTGAAATAATATTTCATATGGGATTGATTCATTCTGTTGATCTCATCTTTGTTTCATGTTGAATTTTATAATCTGAATTCTCTCTGAAGTCAAAACTGGTCACTTTTTCTTTTGTCCTTTAATTTAAATATTTTTCTTAACTCTTTAAATTGTATGTGATAAATTATATCTTTATTTCTTCAGCCTATTTAAAGGCTAGATTCTTTTCTAGAAGCAGGTACTCAATCTTTTTAATCTACCTTTTACACAAAAGAAACTGATTTTTGATCAACTTAACACCTGACAAAAGAATCTTTTATATTTTCTATGTCTGTATGATGTCTACAGCACTTTAACATTTTGGAAATTACAACGAAAGCTATTGAGAAATCTAATTCTATTTTTATCATGATTTCTAATTACAGGTTAAATCATACCTATAGTCAGCTTTTAAAAGAGACTGAAGTTTTACAAACTGACCATAAAAATTTGAAAAGTCTTCTAAATAATTCTAAACTGGAACAAACAAGATTAGAAGCTGAATTTTCAAAACTAAAAGAACAATACCAACAGCTGGATATCACATCCACCAAGCTCAATAACCAATGTGAGGTAAGCTTTAACAAGTTTAATAACTATTTTCTTCCTTTTTGTAGTACCCAAAAAGTAACTAAATCACATTACATTGACAACAGCAGTATGTACTCAGTGGGATATTTCTAGAATTTACATGTAATTGAGAAAAATTTCCTGTATCAAGCCAATACCAGTGGCTATAATCCTAGCAACTTGGGAAGCTAGGATTGCAGTTTGAGGCCAGCCCAGGCAAATAGTTCAAGAGACCCCATCTAAAATAAACAGATCAAAATGGACTGGAGGTGTGGCTCAGGAGCTAGTATACCTGCTTTGCAAGTACAGACCCCTGAGTTTAAGCCCTACTATCGCTCAAAAAATAAATAAACAAAAGAATTTCCTATATCATTAATTTCATTCATTTTTGCTAGTAGTTTAAACTTGTTTATCCAGATGCTTTCAAAATTGAAAAATTCTGTGCTTAGTTAATGATAAAATGTGATGTGTATTGTACACCTAGGATGAAACAGGAAACCAATAGAAAGAAAATTTAGTTTGAAAGCACATACATTTAAATACCCGACAATGCTTAGAAAGTTCAGAATGATTTTTAAAAGTCTAAATAAAATATAGTTATAAGATGGTATTTCCAGAATGGTAGAATGAAGAATGTTATATCAGATCCTTAAGAAACCACAACAAAATTGGACAGAATGGTCAAAAACAACTATTTCAGAGAGCTGGAGATGTCACAACGCCCTGAATTCAAAAACCTCAGTACCACCAAAGCGGGAAAAAAACATTTAGGACTCCTTAATTCAAGTATTGATATACAGCAGATTGAGAGGCATTTGTTTAAAAAAAAAAAAAAACTAGTCAACCTTGGGGAGTAACTATGGTTGTATGAAGCTTTTTTTTGAATGGTCAGTACTGAGGTTTGAACTCAGGGTCACATTCTTACCTTACTGGCTTCTCTTTTCCCATTCCCCCTTCCCTGGTTCAGACTAACTTGATTTGGAGCAGAGAAGTAATATTGTAAGGTGTAGATAGGGGTAAGAATATATGCAGTTTTCCATATATTATACTTCATCTTAACAATATATAAATAAACTAAATATGGTACAAAATTGACAGTTGTTGGCTCTAAATAGTTATTTATGTATAGTCATAGTAAATGTCATTCTTCCTGACTTTTTGTACCTTTTGAGAATTTTCAAAATGTTTGCTTTCTTGTTCCTTTTTTTGATGGGGGTAGTAGTTATGAGTGGTATATAACATTTATTGGTAGTTCTGACAGAGCACAGGACAAGCTGTAAAAACCAACAGGTTTATATTGGAGGGGATAGACTTCGTTTGCAGCAGAGCAGAGAGAAAAAAAATCCTGTACCTTAGAGAGTTGTCAGAAGTCATTTGTCATATAGCCTGAGGTTGAAATACTGGTTAGGCAAGTATTAGACCAATGAACTAATCAGAAATTTAACTATGAGATCCAAGAAGTAAGACAGCTGTAGTGAGTTTTGCTAAGATCTTATATGTCACTGGTGATCTAGAAGGCTGTGCAAGAGAGACCACAGAGGACCCTAGCTATCTACTCACCCCTGGCTGATTTGTTACAGCCTGGATCAAATGTTAACCTTTAGCTGGGGGTGAAGTCATGTAATGACATGGTTTGAAGAAGATGGAAACCTTTTGTGGTATAAGAGGTCAGGGTGGTTGTTAACCTTGCTGGAAAGGATAGTGATTAGAAGGTAGCACATAAGTGTTTCTGGGATGCAGTTAATGCTCACCCTCCTTTTCTCCTTTCCTCCCTCCCTCCCCCCTTTCTCCCTTTCTCCCTCCCTGCCTCCCTCTGTCCCTTCTTTCCTTCATACTGGGGTTTAAATTCAGGTCTTATGCTTGCTACGCAGGTGCTCTACCACGTGAACCATACCCTCAATCCTCAATGTTCTGTTTCTTGATCTGGGTGCTGGTTTAATGTATATGTTAACTTTGTGATAATTCACTGAGCTGTGTGACATATGTTCTTTTCTGAATATATGTCTTATCAGTTATCTGTAACATAATAATGGTATATATCATTCATAGAACCTCAGTGTTAATGGACTGTAAACATTTCTTTTTGTTCAAGTCTGTGGGTTGGCCAAGCAGTTGTACTGATCTGCTCACTGACGTTTAGACTCAAGGTCTAAACAAGGGTTTTACTTCTGCATCTATAATTAGGTTGCAGATATGTTGGAGGGATGGCTGGTCTTTGGTAGCCTCCTGGGGTGCCTCCTCTGTGTTCTACGAGGTTTCACATCCTCTAGCACAGTTTGAATTGACTGAGTGGAAGCACACACGGCAACTTAAGGCCCAAGCTTGCAATTTTCACACATCACTTCCACTTTCTGTGGGCCAAAGGCATTCCAAATTCAAAAAAGGGGGAAGTAGATTTCACTGCTTGATGAGAAGAGTGAGAAGTCATATTACAAGAAGGTAGCTAGGGAAGAGAATAAATGCAGTTTTTCAGCAAATCTACTATGTATGTTATATTTAAATTTAACAAGATATAAATAAGCCAAACATGAGTTGTTAGATGTAGATGATTGTTGATATATATTCATAAGTATCATTCTTCCTGATTTTCTGTTCCTTTTTTGAATGTTTTCTTTTTCCTTTGGAAGTAAGTGGGTAGAGATTGTGAGGGATATTTGTTGTTTGCTTTTGCTTTTTAAATATAGATCTCTGTGCTTCACTCTAGACTTGCTAAAGTCAAGTCTAAAAGGGGATGCTAAATTTTGAGAACCAATGTTTTTGGCTTCTACTGGAACCTCTGGCCTAGCTATGACATATTTCCGTTTCTATTAACTGTGTATAAAAAAGCCCAAATAAGCTAGTAATATTAACCATTGACTAAATTACATAATTCCCCTTGATTAAGCCATAAAAGCTATATACATAAATGTCTAAACTTGCTTGGAAATAGTGGTTGAGGAAAAATGAGATTTATTAGGTATCTAGTATGCAACATACATATACCACTTTACATAAACTATTTAATTCTTGCAGTAATCTTGGTGGGAGGACCTAGCCTCATTTTATAGACTTGAGAATTAACTAACTTGTCCAATATTTCTTAGTTCCTTATAGATTAGAAATTTGAATCTATCCTTTAGACTATAAATTAAATAGTTCTGAAGATAAAAATGTATTTTTGGAATTAGATAATTTTTAACATATTAGACCCAGTGTGAGAATTAAGAAAATATGTATATAGCATGTAACCTAGCTATCATTATCACCAAATTAATTATGTTCTGATCAAAGTACAGTCACCTACTTATTTAAACAGTGGAAGACATCTTCATGAAGTATTTTATATATATCAGATGTTTCAGGTGATTTGTGTTAAATGTAAATATTTTTAAATAAATTTTTGTGTTTTAACAGTTGCTCAGTCAACTGAAAGGAAATTTGGAAGAAGAAAATCGCCATTTACTAGATCAAATTCAGACACTAATGCTACAGAACAGAACACTACTGGAGCAGAACATGGAAAGCAAGGATCTTTTTCATGTGGAACAAAGACAGTACATGTAGGTACCAAATAATTTTGCATTATTAAGTAATACTCATGATGTTGTTTTATATCCAGTGACAGAGAAAATTCATGCTGCTTTTTCTTTTTTTGGTGGGACTGGAGTTTGAACTCAGGCCTTCAAGCTTGCAAAGTAGGCACTCTACTGTTTGAGCTACAACTCTGGTCCCATTTTGCTTTGCTTATTTTGGAGATGGGGGCCTGGGCTGGCCTTGTACTGCAATCCTCCCAATCTTAGCCTCCCAAGTAGCTAGGATTACAGACATAAGTCACTAGCACCATTTTTATTTTTCTAATTTTGGTATGTATTTTTGAGGTCTTATATTCCAGGCATTATGCTAATAACCAGAAATACTAACATGAAAACTAACATGAGTTCTTCCTTAAAAGAATTGCTAACACAAAATAGGAAATGTAATCCAGCATGGTATTGTAGGTCTATAATTCCAGCACTCAGGAGGCTGAGGCAGGAGGATTACTTGAGTCCACAAGTTCAAGACCAGCTTGGGCAACAGGCTTTAAAAAAAAAAAAGAAAGAAAAGCAAGAAACACAAGTAAATATTCAACATCATAATTCTGTAAAAGAAGTACATGTGGGACCCATACATACATAGAAAACACAGGGGAAGGAACACTGGAGTATCTTAGTCTGGGAGAGGCAAGGCAGATTTCCCAAAGATGAGACTTGAACTAAGCTGAGCTGAGACTTGAAGGCTAAGTAGAAAGTTGCTTTTAGGTGACATACCAGGCTAAGAGAGCAGCAATGCAAAAAATATGGAAGTATAGTGAAAGTATGTTGTAGTGGGGTGTAAGACCTAAAAATTAGTTATTCTTTCTTGAACCAAATTGAAGACGGGGGAAAAGAAAGAAAAAGTTATGTTTCCCTTGAGGGTGGAGGAATCTGATAACTCAGACATTTTAATTTAAACCTGGGCAGCTCGTTGGGTACTCTTTGTCTTATGATTTGTCTTAGTATACTATTTCCCACTAAAATGAGAAGTACCATAGTGTAATAGAAATTGCCAAATGTTGAAATCAAATTGCTCTTAATTCATATTCCAATTCTCTAAGGCTACATTCATAGACAAGTCACTTCCTTCTTTGATCATTAGCTGCTGCTTCTCTAAAACAGAGATAATAACACTTAGTTCCAGAATTATCTGAAGGACTAAATAAAATGCATTTCTGCTTTTCTTTCATTTTCCTTTTTTTGGCAGTACTCAGGTTGAATGTAGGACCTTACAACTTGAGCTATGCCCCTATCCCAATGTGTGTCTGCTTTTCAAACTTGATATATCATGATAAGCCAGAGCATATATGAAACTAGGACACATAATACATTTTGAAGCATCAATTTTATTACATAATTTGCTGTAGGGGATATTATTTTTATTTCAATACACAGATGTATAATGGAACAAACTTTTAAAATAAATGCAAAAATCTCAAAGATATTTCACATTCGTGGCTGACTTCTTTGGACAGTCCTTTCAGGTGTATGTCTTCCTTTACTCTCTGCCATAGGAGGTCTTTTAGGTGATGAAGCACTGAGTGTATATAAAGCTCTTGGTATTTGAGTTTTTGTGCCTGAAGCAGAGGCATTATCAAAACTTTATTTTAATATTCTGAGCCTTGGTGACTAATTCATTTCAGGGATGCAGTGATTATGTCTATGTAGTTGATTTCCAAATATTCTTGCCTATTGTGAGTTACTGAATACAAAGCTACGTATATCTGATAGTCTGACATCTGTCTCTAGCCTTAATGCCTCTATCACTTGGTTCTGGCAGGAGTGACTGTGAACAGATAGTACTGAGAAGTTGGAGGTTTGTGCTATTTCAACAAATAAAAGGAAAGTAGAGTTTGAATTTGTGGTCTGTACTCTAATCATCAAGTGTCAGACTTTCATACGCTTGAGATCCAGGCATTGGTGGTATAACTGTTGACAGTATCTGTTCACAGACCATCATCTTCTAAAGACTTCTATATTATTAAATTGTATAAATATTATTATGTATATTATTGTACTATAGACTTTGATAGTTTCTCTCCATTCACACTGTTCTTAATTCATCTTCCCACTCAACTCAAATACCCTGTTAGCCTCCTAAATGTTCTCTTTACCTCCAGCCTTTCTGGCATACCCTTTTCCACCATAATATCATCACTTTGTAAGGAAATGCAATACATCTGATTTTCTGTTGTGCAAACCAGAACTCCCCCACAACTTCCCTTGTGCCTTAAGTTAGCAACCTTATCTTTCCTTTTCATCCATTATAATAATCTGGGGTTTTTTCTCTGAGGATTTTTTTGATCATCCAAGACAGAAATATTTTCCCTATTATAGGTTTCTTTTATATTTCCACAATACTTTTACTTGGATTCTGCTATTGCCTTGAGTTATAATAGTCATTTGTGTACGTATTTTCTCTCTTCCACTGTATTGTAAGCAGAGCTACTTACATTCTTCTTTACATATACCTCATGCCTTCCTCATTGTAAAGGATCAGATGTTTGCTGAGTAAATGGTATTCTTTGGAACTGCAGTATTTTTAAATTTTTTTTTTTAAGAAAGATCACTCCACTTTTGCTTGTGATCTTTGTTGTTTCTGTGTATAATAAATACTGCCAAGAACATAAAAGGATATGACAAAACTAGTATACTTTTCCATTGCAGGGGTTAGGAAATAATTCTCAACAAATAAATTACACCTCAGCCAGAATGGAAAAAAAAATTACTATTTATATGAACATGTGGTTGTAAGATTATTTTATCTATAATTGTTAGCAAACTAAATATTCAGCACTTTTATTTTTGTACATATAAGTTATAATAAATCTTCTACAAAAATTGAGATACTAAAGATCCAAGAATAGGGAAATAGTTAATGTTGATACAGTGTTTAATAGCTATAAAGATTCTGAAGTGATAAAATTACAGAATGGAAAATTTTCTTCAAACAAGAGAAAATTGGAACTTTAAATCCTTTATCCCTTTATTTTAAGTAAGTTGTACATTTAAAGAAATGGAGAGAGTTGGTAAAGTGGCTTAAGTGATAGAGAGTGCCTACCCAGCAAGCATGAGGCCTTGTGTTTAAACCCCAGGACCTTTTAAAAAAAAAAAAAAAAGAAGGAAAAATATGGGAAGACCTCATTGTTACTTCCTAATAAACTCTTAGTTGTCAGTCATGGTATCTGTATTTGTTTATGTTTGGGAAGAAGTTAAATCATAGGCACCAAATAATTTAATATCATGCATGGGTATACAAAAATGTGCATTTTCTAAAATGTAATTTTTAATTTTTATAGTGATAAGTTAAATGAATTAAGACGACAAAAGGAGAAATTAGAAGAAAAAATTATGGACCAATACAAATTTTATGACCCATCTCCTCCTAGAAGGTACCTCACTAATCAAAAAATTTTATGAATTTTATTTTGAAAAAAAGTTACGTTATTTCTAGTATTGTGAAAACTTCTGATTTTGTGATGAATTTATGTGCTGAATTTTAGACTTAAGAATTATTTTATTCTATTAGGAGAGGCAACTGGATTACACTAAAAATGAGGAAATTGATAAAGTCCAAGAAAGATGTTAACCGGGAACGTCAGAAATCTCTAACATTAACACCTACTCGCTCAGACTCCAGTGAAGGATTTCTTCAACTACCCCATCAAGATAGTCAAGATAGTTCTTCAGTAGGATCAAACTCTTTAGAAGATGGCCAAACTGTGGGGACCAAGAAAAGCAGCAGTGAGTGCTTAAACTCTTTAAGCATAGTATTGATTTTGAATCCTTTCTAAAGATTTCTTTAAAAAAAAATAACCATCTTTTGGTGGGATGATCTGGTGAATGGCATTTCCTTTTGATTTTATATGATTATAAAATTAATTGCATAGTGCTTTAGTGCACAACCACATGATTTTCTGAGGCATATTATACACAGAGGTACCATCAGTTTGGTCAGGAAGGTTAAAATACTGTAGAAACAACACTGAAGTAAGAGCTAAAAATAAGAGCCAAAATATCTTTGCACCAAGCAGATTTTACTAACAAGTGCAGGCCTTTACCTTTGCTTTATGAGAAGCAAGTGAGAAATACAGGATTTCATTTCATTAATGTCTATAACTTAATCAAAATAAGGCATTTTATGAGGTTTTTGCTCACTGGTATCAAATTGGAGCAAAGTTATTACATTCAAGGAAGCAAAGAAAAATAAGTATGAATTTGAAGAGGTGTTATTAAATTATTTGGAAATAACAAGGTTAAGAAAATGATTAAGGGATGCTTGATAAAGTTTTGATTAAAATGAAATAAAGATGGGAAGATGTAAGTTTATATAAACTTGTTTTAATTTTTATTACAGATTTAGAAGTATCATAACACACCCTATGCAACTTATAGTGTTTTTATTTCAGTGCTAATATGAATAGCAAGAGCAAAAAGTATATTTCAAGTGAAAAAGAACTCATTACTAAACCCTTTGAAGATGTCCAAGAAGTTGACTGTTAATATTCTTATAAAACAGTTGACTTTTGATATTCTTATAAAGTACTTAAAAAACTAGGCCAGGTACTGATGACTCACACTTGTAATCCTAGTTACTTAGAAGGCTGAGATCGGGAGGATGATGATTTGGAGACTCCATCTCCAAAATAACCACAGCAAAATGCTGGAGGTGTGCTTTATAAGCGGTAAAGCACCTGTTTTGCAAGTGTGAGGCCCTGAGTTCAAACCCCAGTTACACACACACAAAAAAAAAATCTATAGATACAGATATAGATATAGATACATATGCATGTGTGTGTATTTATGTATGTATCTTAAAATCTAGATACTTTGAGTCATCTCACTCTATCACCAGTGTCACCAAGTTTAAACATACACACAGCACGCACACACACACACACACACACACACACACACCATTCAGTTGAAATAAATAGCAAACAAAGTAGATGCTGCTTCCCCATATGGGGAGACTCTCAAAGCACTCAAAAATTGTGTAGTGTTTTGACCTCAGGTAAATTATATCTGAAAAGAGACAGTGCCTTAGATTGTATGATTTTAGACATTATATAGTATATTTCAGAATACAACTATAGCAGCCTGAAAACTAGAATCCATAAGTAGCAATGACAAAAAAAAGTATACACATACATGTATATGTATATAGACTAGTTTCCAAAAAAGCACTTTAATTCAGTTATCTCCACAGAAAATGATTACTACCTTGTCCACCAAATGAATAGTTATTGTTGTGGAGAGATCATCAAGTTTTCCTTTAAAGATGGCTAAAGTTACCTTAGATTCACTTAAGTAATAAGTGATAATGTATGTATTTAATTTTTTAATTAGTTGATTCAATTCAGATATGAGCATACATAAGAAAGCACAACAGTCTCTTGATGTCTTGTTTGTTTGAAGTATAAGTCTCATTCATTCATACACTGCTATAACATTCACAGTAAGAATCAGAAGGAAGTAATATTCTCCTTTCTGTTTTAGAGTTTTTTAAATAAACATAAAACCCAACAATACTGGGTCTGGGACATGGCTTAAGTGGTAACTGCCTGCCTAGCAAGCATGCTCTGAGTTCAAACCCCAGTGCCATCAAAACACAAAACAAAACACACATACACAGTACTAATGTTTCCTTAATTTACATATACTTTGGGGAAAAAAAAACATTGCATACTTCCAAACTAATTGCCACAAGAAGAATCACATTTCATCTCCGACAAATTTAAAACTCTTTTTATCCTTTTTATCATTTTGGAAGAGTGTCTGTCTTTCAGTAAAGCAGTCTTTGGAAAACAATTGAAAACAGAAAAAGAAAAAAAAAGTATCTAAACAAGACAACATGTGCATGCTGCAACCACTCAGCTTTGTTTTAGCTAAGTGTCCATTTTTACATTGCTTTCAGTTCATTTCTTTTTAATCATTGAAAACAGCTGTGTTTACCAAGGTTGAAAAGAAATAGGTCAAAATGAGAAGCTTAAATGTCATGAATTTTCCTTATAGCAGTCAAACAAGTTAAAAAGCTATATCCATTGCAACTCTTTTTAATGAGTGAGACTTGTCAGTTCATCAAAAAAGTTTTCATTATTTACAAGATGATAACAAACCCTGAGAAAAAATAGTTAAGGTTGTGTGTAATACATTTTTTAGTCTTTTTGCAAATTGTTTTGTAACTTCTAAGTTAATTTCCAAAGAGATAAAAGGCTGAGGATGTAGCTCAGTGGTGCAGCACTTGCTTAGCTTGTGAAAAGCCCTGGGTTCAGTCCTCAGTACTGGAAAAAAAAAAACAACATAATTTTATATTTAATATTACCAAAATAGAGTTTAAAATGTAGCTAGAATGGCTAGTTACTGTTTTTGTTGTAATGATTCCGTTACTTGAGGAATAATACTTTTCACTCATAAAAATTTTTTGCACAGTGCTTGATTTTTTTTTTTTTTTTACATATACTCACCCAGAGGGCCCTTTAACATATGTTAAAATGATACATTTTTTTTTCCTCTCAGTTTGATTGCTTTGGGTACCTCCTTAGCTTTTACTTTTTCAGAGCTTAGTGCTAATACTTACTACTACTGCTGTCAAAATACTCTTTTTTTTCTCTTTCTCCCAACCCACATTTTATAAAAGGAACTCAATATAATTGATATTTCATCTTTAGAAAGACTTTGACTGAAAGAGTATGTATTTCTCTGGTGCTGTTCAATAAGGCAGTAGAGTGCTGGTGGCTCACACCTATAATCCTAGCTACTTGGGAAGCTGAGATCAGGAGTATCAAGGTTCAAGGCCAGCCCAGGCAAATAGTTCACAAGATCCCATCTCCAAAATAAACAGAATAAAATACACTGGAGGAGTGGCTCAGTTGGTAAAGTGCCTGCCTAGCAAGCATAAAGCCCTGAGTTCAAACCCTAGTACTATCAAATTAAAAAAAAAAAACAAAACACTAGAATCTAACTTAAATCAAATTTTTCTTCAGAATGTTAGCTTTTAAGGTGATTTTTAAAAGTCTCTTTAGATTGTTTCAACATATAGGCAGCCTAATTTTTGTTGATGTATATTACTAAAATATTCTGGTAGAATGTGCATTTTCCTAAATTCTTTTTCAAGATAAAAACTTTTAATTTTAAAAGTTAAAGAAAAAACAGGCTTGAAAAATGTCGTACATTTTCATCATTATTATTAAGAACTTCCAATAACCTAATTTAAAAAGTTTACCATTACAATTTAACTAGGAAATTTAGCCTCTCCATAAGTAATTCTAATCAGTTCCTATTTTTATAGAACTGTAGCCAGTCAAAGCGTTCAAGGTATTTGTTCCTCATCATTGTCTTCAGTGCTTTTCCAAGTATTTAAAGTATCAGAATACATATTTCATTTTTCATTATCACTCAGCAGCATGAGATTAGAGCTTTTAATATAGCATACATAGCTGAAACTCAAACATTCATTTCTGTCCTTAATTTCAACATTTAACTCCCATCTGTTCTTCTCCCTTTTTTTCTTTCATTTCCCTGTTTCTGTTTTTCCTCATGCTCTGACATTAAAGTGGTTGCACTGAAAAGACTGCCCTTTTTGAGGAACAGACCGAAGGATAAAGACAAAATGAAGGCCTGCTACCGTCGTTCCATGTGTAAGACTTTATGACAGTTCGGCTTCTTTCAAATGACTACACTGGCTTCCATTACTAATTTTTCACTAACCTCTCTGTGGACTCTACCAATTTCTTATTTTGCAAAGTGCAGTCTTCCTTTAGTACAAGGAGCTGGAAAAATATTTTTTCAAAACTGGCACTGAATTTGCATTATATTATATACATATAATATATGTGCATATTTTTAGTAATACATGTAATATACTTGTAAATTTCCAGTGCTTTTTAAGAGTTGGCAGAAAAAAAAACCTTAATTTTATATGCCGAGATTTTTCCCAAAGAAATTTACTTAAGGAAAATATAATGAAACCTTTAGCATTAGGAATTTATTTCCTTATTAAACCCAATTAAATAAAGTGGCCTATAACCTTTGAAAATGTTTGTCATTCTTTATACAATAATCTGAGTTTTTCTTTTTTTAAGTGGAATGGGTAATTAACATAATCACATTAAATTCTGTCACTTTGGATATCTCTTTCAGGTTTTTATTCAGTGGTATACTTATTTGATTTGTAAAATGAATAATTTCTTCAGTAACTTGCTCTGACCAAGGACTTGTTCATTTTCAATAATGATGCTGTATAAGAACTGCTCTCCATCTTAATTCATTACGTTTTGTCACCACAAAGCCACATTACGAAGGCTGCTAATTATGTTGCACATCATTGTGCAAAAGCATGGCAATTGAATACAGTAAAATTCCCTTCTGTTTTTTATTGGGGGTGGAGGTGGGATAAAAGTACTTACTGAAATTTATCAGCCTTTGGCCTCATTTCATTCTGCTGAATGCATGTCAAAACTCAAATGACATTGTTAAAGTTTTTATGTCCATTTGCATTAATTCATAGAAAACATCATTTATAATACAAAATAGAAATAAGAGCAAATACATTAACCATGCTGATTCATTTGCTTTCATTTGCATCCCAGCCATGAATGACCTGGTGCAGTCCATGGTCCTAGCAGGACAGTGGACAGGTAGTACTGAGAATTTGGAGGTTCCTGATGATATTTCAACGGGTAAAAGGAGAAAAGAATTGGGAGCTATGGCCTTCTCTACTACAGCCATCAACTTTTCAACTGTCAACTCTTCTGCAGGCTTCAGATCCAAGCAGTTGGTTAATAATAAAGGTATAGGCCGTCTGCTATTTGCACTGTGGTGTAACTGTTGACAACAGGAATTTTCATTTGACTTTTCCCTGTGTAGTTCTTCTCAAACAATCTGAAACTATTATCAAACCATGATCTGGATTTTATTTGGGAGAATTTTCAAATCATTTCGAAAATTTAAGTCACTACACAATTAAAATCTTTCCTTAGACCTTCTTTCATAATAAACAGCTAATGAACTAACAGGAAAACCAGAAGTTAACCAGGTAAAGAGTGAAAAAAAGAAGGGAGTGATACAACTTAAAAAAAAAAAAAAAAAAAGCACTACAACTTCAGGGAACCACATAGAACTGCCCAGGTTCTTTCTTTGCTTTGCAGGGTCACAGGGAGGTTGTCTCATTGTTTCTGGTGTTTTCCCTAAGCAAGTCAACTCTAATCATAGCTACTCTTACTTCTAGTTCCAGTTTCTGGCTGAGTCTCTGAAATGTGTCAAATCAAGATGTATTTTGTGTAATTAAAATACAATTTCCATATTCTGCAAAATTTTTATAATGAAATTTTTTGTTACAAAAATATTTATATCCATTTTGCTATTTTATGTAGATACTACATCCTTTGAAGACGTAAGTCCACAAGGTATTAGTGATGATTCTAGTACGGGATCAAGAGTTCATGGTAAGATATGAACTTAATTTAGAGGGTATGTATTAAGTGCTGAATGGGAATGCTAAGGCTCTTGCATTGAAGAGGTGAATGTGGTATTGCCAGCAAGCATGTTTTCTCTGTCCTGCATCTCACAGTTCTTCCATTTCTTCAAATCTAATTCTCCCTTTTGTCCCTTTTAAGATTATTGCTTCGGCAGGGTACTGGTGGCTTACGCCCATAATCCTAGCTACTTGGGAGGCTGAAATCAGGAGGATCGTGGTTCGAGGACAGCCTGGGCAAATACTTTGTGCAGATCACATCTCCAAAATAACCAGAGCAAAATGGCTGGAGGTGTGGCTCAAGCAGTAGAGCATCTGCTTTGTAGTTGCGAAGCCTTGAGTTCCATCCCCAATCCCACCAAAATATATTGCTTCATCTAGAAGTGTTCTCTATTTTAATCAAGGTCATTTATAATGTGTGCCTGCTCAGTCCTCAAGTGTAATTTTGTCACCATTTTCACATAAGGTTAGTTATTAGTTACATTTTGCCATTGGTTTGTAAATATTTATTTTGGTAAAGGATGAACATTAAGAATCAAAATTTTTAGGTGGGCGCAGTGACTCATGCCTGAAATCCTAGCTACTCAAGAGGATCCAGAGGATTGCACTGAGGTCAGCCCAGGCAAAAAGTTCATCCCCCATCTTAATCAGTAAAAAGCTGTGCATGGTGGTTTATACCTGTCATCCCAGCTGTGTGAGAAGTGCACAGGAGGGTTCCAGTCCAAGCTAGTCTCAGCATAAAAGCACGCCCCTATTAAAAAAATAACTAAAGCTAAAAAGAATGGCAGTGTGGCTCAAATGGTAGAGTGCCTGCCTGGCAAGCTCAAGGCCCTGAATTCAAACCCCAGCATCACAAACAAACAAAAAAATAGAAAGTTTTCTACATTATTGAGTATTTTAGATTTTTAAATTTCAGTGTAGAAAATTCTATCTTACTAAGCGAAGTTATTAACAAGAAATGGATATCATTAAAGGAACTTCATGTGTGAGCAAGATTTTAAGAAGTAGCATCAGTTAGTGTTAACTATACAATTGTTGTTTCCCTTGTATGGATAGAAATATAGGACATTAACTGTAAAGTAGTCTCCTCTTCAGGCAACTCTGCAATATGCAGTGCTTCTTGTCTGATCTAAGGGGCTGGGAGACTGGGGGACCATGTCACTCTATTAAATGAAAACAGTTGTGGTATCCATCTAGAAATCATTTTCAAATACAAATTTACACTTTTTCTGTTTTCTCTGAAACTTGGCTGTTATTCCAGAAGTGTTCTATTCTGAACTATCTGAAAATGCCATTGTTTTCTAACTTAAAAAATTCATTCTCTGTGGGCATGTTCAGCCTGTGAAAGTATGCATGTTTGCTGCCTCAAATCATTCTGTGATCAGAATGTGAAATTCAGTGTTATCAGCTGGAAGTTTTATCACACTGTCTCCTGATTTTTTCATTTAGCTTCAAGACCAGCCAGCCTTGATAGTGGCAGAACATCCACTAGCAATAGCAATAATAATGCTTCACTCCATGAAGTCAAAGGTACGCTGTAGGTAAATTTATTAATGCATTCCATCTATTTTTGTAACCTTTACAAGTTGGAGGGGGCAGGGGCTATTGCTCAGTGGTAAAGCACATGCTTATAGCATGCACAAGGCCCTGAGTTCATTCCCCAGTACCAGGGGAGAAAAAGCTGGAGACGGGATGAAGTTTCTGGAGCTAAAGCTTGAAATCCAGATCATCTATTTGAAACTAGCTCTTTGAAACATGTGTACTTTTTTACATTGTAATACAAATGTATTTCAATGTATACAGATGTAAAAACAGTTATTTTAGTTTCAATTCTTCATCTTTACAGATAAAATAGTACTACTGTATGTAATCTTTATACTTCAGAATTATCTGTAGCTCCTTATTTTAGTTTTATTTCTTTGACATTTAAATGGTTGTCTTAATTTTTTCATGGTGCATGTATATTAAATTTGCATTACATGTTTTAAAAGTAATTTGTCCACAAAAAAGGAAGCTTTGTTTTTTAATTTGAGAAGCTGTTATATGTGTGTTTTGCACAAGAGCTTTTGGATGCATACATATATATAGCTCATATAAAGAATTGAAATAATTCTTTTTTTCCTTAATTTTTAAATATGCATGCCAAGGTGATATTTTTATATAAATATCTGAAAACCCTCACTAACACCTTTTTCCTTAAACACTTACTGCTTTTTCCAGTTTTAGAATTGTTTAATCAATCTATTAAAATTCTGGAAAGTACAGAATTGTTGAGTTACAGTGAATACATTTGTTCTGTTGCTTTTGGATTATAAAATTATTTTGTCTCTGTTCTAATTTTATCATTAATATTACTGCAATGACCTAAAATATCTGATTTTTAAGGGGGGGGTTAATTTTTATGTTTTAAATCATATTACATCCAGTAAAAAAACATAGTCTAAAGACATGAAGAATTTCTTCTTATTTGAAAAATTGAAGAAAATCTTATTTCTGTAAAATGTTTTATAACTTGAGACAAATTCTTCCATGACCCCCTTTACTCACTGTGATTGGGAAATCCTGGAAAGTTGCATTTTCTGTACTGATGTACTGTATGATTTGCAATTGATCAAAACAAATCAGTACTCTTATTAAACATAAATTTTAGAAAGCTTTATTCTAGAACTTGCTAATTTGCATTCCATATAGTTCTAACTCAGCTGAGTCTTGTAAAGTTATATAGGAATCATAACAACATTAGATAGCAGGAACGATCAGATAATTCAGACATTGAGAAAAGAGTAAGTCAGATGTGGTTGTACACAGCTGTAATTCCTGCACTTGCAAAGCTGAGGCAGGAGGATCACAAGTTCTGAGCCAGCCTGGACTACATAGTGGGTCCAGGCCAATATAGGCTACACAGTGACACCCTGACCCTGCCTCAAATAGATAAATTTTTCGTTTTTACTGGAATTTTATAACTAATTATGTCTCCATTTGACCTTCCTTTCATATGTATCATTTAAATTTTTAAATTTTAAGCCTCTTCATTTAGGAGCAACAGAAAAACCTTCCAATAAATGAGGACTTCTTAGGAATAGTTTTGGTTTTGTTGTTTTTTTTTTTTAAATAGTAGGGTTTTGCTGGGCACTGATGGTGATGCTTCATGCTGGTAATCTTAGCTACTTGTGAGGTTGAGATTGGGAGAATTGTGGCTCAAGGCCAGCCTGGGCAAAAATAACCAGAGCAAAATGGGCTGGAGGTGTGGCTTAAGCAATAGAGCGGCCTGCTTTGCAAGTGGGAAGCCATGAGTTCAAACCCTAGTCCCACCAAAAAAAAAAAAAAGTTGGGTTTTAACATTCTGAAGTAATTTAAAATTAATGTGATTATGTTCTTAGTCTAGAGGTATTTTTCAATTATTTGGACTTGAATTTTTAAAGTTTTCATTTTATTCATTCATTCAATGTACTGAATGTTTACTTTGTATAAGGCTCTGAATGTGAAGCACATTTTTGCCCCTGTACTCCTTAAAATATTTGTTAGTTGACAAAATAAGGAGCATAAGCTATGGCAGACAGACAGTTGTTAGATAAATGAAAGATTGACATGACTTAGTAAGCATTTCTAAACAAAGCTTGAAAATAAGTTTGGCTATTCATAGAATAAAAGCCCAGTCAACAAATGTTATTTCTTACTTAGTATTAATTTCATCTCTATTACTGAAATCTCAACACAGCATTTACTCCAAAAGCAGGTGCAGTTAATAACCAAAGTAGGCCACAAAGCCACAGCAGTGGAGAATTTAGCCTGTTTCCTGATCATGAGGCTTGGTCCAGCAGTGGTAGCAGTCCAATCCAGTACCTGAAAAGACAGACCAGATCAAGTCCATTGCTCCAACACAAAACTCCAGAAACACTAGAAAGTCGAGCACATCACAAGATGAAAACTGGTTCTCCTGGAAGTGAAGTTGTTACTCTACAACAGTTTTTGGAAGAAAGCAACAAGCTTACCTCAATACAGGTTAGTTTCGTGTATGGTGACTTTAGTTTAGGTGAATACCACCATTTGGAGCTTTTTTTGTTTTTAAATTATGAGTGTCAGCATACCAGCAACTTTATATTATACAGCTCAATATATCGGGAAAGTCTAAACATGACTATATTCAAACCTGGCATGGTGATGCACTTCTGTAATCCGGTTACTTGGTGGGGACGGAGACAGGAGGATCAAAGTTCAAGGCCAGCCAGGGCAAACTTAATATGACCCTATTTCAAAAAAAAGAAAGAAAAAGGGTTGGGGTGTAGGTTAAGCAACCCTGATGGTTCAATCTCTAGTATGGGGGTGGGAGAGATATATATATTCACTAATCTGCTTTGTTTCTTGTTTTTTTTAAAACAGTTAAAGTCCTCAAGTCAAGAGAATCTTTTAGATGAAGTAATGAAAAGTTTGTCTGTATCTTCTGACTTTTTGGGAAAAGACAAGCCAGTTAGCTGTGGTCTGTCCAGGTCAGTAAGTGGAAAAACTCCGGGGGACTTCTATGATAGACGGACGACTAAGCCTGAGTTTGTGAGACCTGGTCCTCGAAAGACTGAAGATGCCTACTTTATTAGTTCTGCAGGAAAACCTATAGCAGGCACTCAAGGAAAGATAAAATTAGTAAAGGAAACTTCTCTGTCACGACAATCAAAAGATAGCAATCCTTATGCCACTTTACCACGTGCAAGTAGTGTGATCTCTACTGCCGAAGGAACAACACGAAGGACAAGCATCCATGATTTTTTGACCAAGGACAGTAGACTGCCTATCTCAATTGATTCACCACCACCTACTGCTGATAGCAACACCACTGCATCATCTAGTGAGTACCATTTGCACCAGTGGACCCCTCATGCACTTCAAGGTCCAACACATGCTAAAGGTCCCCAAAATGATTTAGCTACAGATATGCCTGAGTCTCTGTATGCCCAGGTTAGAAACTCAAAAACAAAAAAGTCACACTTTGTAAACCAAACTTTTGCCACTATTAAAATGTCTAATGATGCCTTCAGAGTATCTGCTAAAGATAGCATAGGGTCATTTACTGTGGCTCATTCTTCTCAACCATTTCTATCCCTGAACACAGAATTAGTTAGTAACATAAGTGGGTTACCGCCCAGGCCAGTCACCAGAGTAATTGACCAGACTTCTGCCTCTTTGAGTAGAGCTGCACAGAAAGATAATGAACAGTTTTCTGATAGTCAGAACCCAAGTAACAGTAACCCACAATCCTCTGTAGATAGCAGTAATCTTATCACTCCTGCATGCCCTTATCCTGATGACAAAGAAGCTGCATTGTTGGTTACTGAGGATAATCAAACTGTTTGGTATGAATATGGTTGTGTATGATCAAAATAATATAATATATTGATGTTATTTGATATGCACTGTCTTCTCTAATCTGAAGAGCTGCTGTTAAAATATCATTTTCTTAGGTATATTTTTAAGATTGTTGCATAGACTTCACCTGTACGTGATGGCATGTATATAAACATGAATGTGTAACCACACCAAAGCTTGCATGAAACAATAATCACGTCGTATATTTTCTGCATGCCTTTAAAATTCTCAACTATACATGCTACTCTTTTACATTTCTGTCGCTTGTTAAAAGATTATTACTTTGACATCCAGAAGCATGTTAATATAGTTGCATGTTTTATTACCAAGAAGCATTTGTGCTTCCAAAAAGGAATGTTCATTTCTCGTTTTCCTCCATCTTCTTGCCCCGTCTTCTCTCTCTCTTCCTCTCTCTTTCTCTCTCTCCCCACTCTATCTCCCTCTCCCCCCTCTCTCTCTTACTCTTCCCCCTCCTTTAATTGCTAGAATGTGTACTTCATGTTGCACGTGTACAGTACTAGTAAGGAAAATATGTAAAAAGATGTCATTTTCTTTTGTCACTTAATTATGCCATGTGTCCTGTTCTGTTTTCAAAGAAATAGTCAATAATTCAACCTAATTTTAGTCAATGCCCATGTTTATAAAACATTGTCCAAATTTAAAACATTGTTTATTCATAAATGTAGTATTATTCTTAGAAATACCCCTCAAATTTACATGTGATTTTATACAGTGACTAGAAATATTTGTATTCTTTTCCTTCCTTGCACTTTCATTCATCTGATAAATACAATAGCTCAAGTATTATCTTTCCTTTAAGATGACTTGCCTATTTCGAATTAGTTAACACAATATTTTTCCAGTTCTTTATATATCTTTATATATATATATATATATATATATATAAAGATATATATATGAGTCAAAGAAAAATAAACCAAGTCACATTCAATATGTTGGGAATTTGTATTTTTACTTCTATGCAAAAAGGACAGCAAGTTTATATACTGTGCTAAAATGTAAAACCATTTAAACTTGTAAAACTTGTAACTTTTAAACAAGTATGTATCTATTCTTAGTTCTAAAATTTGTTCTATTAAAAACAAATTCTTTACCAAAAATAAAACATACAAGATAGACATATCTACATACTTAACTCTAGCATCATAGACTTTTAATTATCTTTGTGTTCATATTACTTTAAAGCAAGTCAGCTAAACTTGAATCTCTAATTCCCAAAATATTAAAAAAAGGCTGTAACCCTGATTGACCTACTTCTAGAGGAGGAGGAGGAGGAGGAGTATCTTAGCTCTGACTCCAGAATGTTTTTGCCATTTTGATTAAACCTAAATACTACTGATAATAACTCAGTCTGGCATCTGGAAAGAATGCCTTGAAATGTGACTTTCTAAGTGAGGAGGAACTTATTTTGTACTTGGTATTATATTAAACTTTAAGTTATTATTATTGGACTAAAGGAAAAAAATCTACAGAGAATCTTTGCTTAGTGAAATTGGTATCCTTTTAAAAATTAAGTTATCCTCTTTACACTTACACAAAATCATTTCAGGAGCTAGATACCTTTCACTTATATTGTTAACTATTTTTTCTTTCTTACAGTTATTACTAAAAAAAGATTCTAGTACAGGTAGTGAAAGGAAAACAATCAGAAACTTTTCATATTTTTTGAGCCACCTAATATACTTTCTGTACAAATACATCATTCTGTTTTACTGTCAGTTTTTGCCCTGTCAGTCCTAACATTCCAAGTATTTTTAGTGCTGCTGTGTTCCCTTTTCTTTTTTCCAAAACCTGGTAAAAATGATAAGCATTGATTAGATGGGGGGTCCAAATATTACACAAATACAATAACTATCCTTTTTTTTCTGCAGTTATTCAAAGATTATTTCATAAACCAGGCACTGTTGGCTCACACCTGTAATCCTAGCTACTTTGCAGGCAGAGATCAGGCACTGGTGGCTCACACTTGTTATCCTAGCTACTTTGCAGGCAAAGATCAGGAGGATGGCAGTTTGAAGCCAGCCCAGGCAGATAGTTTGTGAGACCTTATCTCAAAATTATCCAACACAAAAAAAAGGGCTGGTGGAGTGGCCTAGTTAAGTGTAAGGCCCTGAGTTCAAACTCCAGTACTGCCACAAAAAAAAAAAAAAAAAAAGATTATTTTACTTGAAACTTTCACCACTTGAGTAATTTTTTTTTTTTTTTGGTAGTAGTAGGGTTTGACGTCAGTACCCTGTGCTTGCTAGGTAGGTGCTCTACCACTTGAGTTGTATCCCCAGCCTATTTCACAACTATTTCAAATTTTTAAGATATCATAAATCTAGCCATAACACTTTAAATTTAAAATATTTACTTTATTCATTCAAAATACATTTAAAAATCATGTGCTGTTATATTCTTAAACTATATACTTATTTTACAAAATTGAACTTATATAGGAAAGAAGTATTTACCAACAAATGATAAGAATATATACCGCATATGAGACAAACACATATCATGTTTATGTGTTCTGAGGATTGCCTGAGAATGTCGACTAGATTTCAAGAAACCATCACCAGCTGTGGAGTCATAAAATGTTCTCAAAACAATACCAGTATCTCTCCTCTCCCCCTCACCCCCACACTGCCTTGGTGTGAGGATTGAACTCAGGGTCTTGGCTTGCTAGGTAGGCACTCTGCAACTTGAGTTATGGCCCCAGCCCCATAATACTGGTATCTTATTGTGTTTCTTCATAGTATTTGAAATCAGATTTTTAGTAATAGGAAAAAAACCTTAGAAATCATATGAAACCAATGTTTACCCCCAAGATTTTTTTAAATCAACGTAATACTTTGTTTAAAGGAAAATTTACATAGATGGCCAAACTTTTTAATATACGAGTGAAGCAATATGACTCAAGCAGCTGTACTTATTTCCTCTAAAACACTCCATAAAATATCTCCCTACAGTTTCACCAAGGATTTGAAAACAATTTGCAAATTTATTACCTTGATTCTATAGATGATAAAACTGAATAGCTTTTGTATTCATGGCCTAACTTTCTAGAAATTACACCCATGTGATTTATGTGATGTAAGCATTATGTTAAGCTTTAGGTCTGCTTTGAGCAAAGCAAGTTTAGTTTTAACCAATGTAAGGAATGTCTATAAAATATGCCTCAACCCTACTTTTCTTAGTAAATAATATAAATATTTCAGTGTGGATGTTTTTACTACTGTATTGCAAGATTTTTTTTTTTTACTTTAAAACTGGTGACCATTTAGTAAATAAACATAGTAAGTATGTAAGCATATCTGACAGGAAGAGGAAAGAAATGTTATTGTTAGAGTTTTGAAAACAGTTACAGCTTTCATAATGTTACGACTGTGGAATATAAAATCAGACCTGGTGTAGGGCCTCACATTTGTATAGCTACTCAAGAGGCGGATATCAGGAAGGTTTGGGGCCAGCCCAAGGCAAAAAGTTAATAAGAGCCCATCTCAGTTCATAGGCTGTGCATGATGGCACCCCAGCTACGTGGGAGACAATAAACAGAAGAATCAGATCTCCCGGACAGTTAAAAATTCCTCCTCCCTGCCCTACTCAATGAGATCTCTTTACTTTTATGAATTGTGTTATGTTCAACCTTTGACTAAATAACATGAAATGCTTTTCTCCTGCAGATGTGGACAAAGTACAAGAAAGCAGGAATTCAAAAAGCAGGTCTAGGGAGCAACAAAGCTCCTAATTCTGTTACCCACTACATGACATGTGGGCCAAGTGGTGAGTTTACTGCTTAAAACAATGAGATTGATCTCATTTATATAAACTAACCAAATTAAGAACAAGTGCACATTGCATTAACAGATGTAAATATTGCTTGCTTAATTTGTTGGCTTTCTGCTTTACTTACTAGTAAAGCAAAATTATTTTGTTGTCATTGGTTTTGCTTGTCAGTATAGGAAACCAACCATTAAAACTTATTTTCCACTCAACTTAAATTTAATTTTACTAGTGAATAGTGCGAAGTCCTTTTGTGATAGGAATACAACTTCCCCACAGTTTTTTATAAAAATAAACTAAATGCTTATTTTACAAAGAGGTATTCAAGAAAAGTCTCCGATTTTCTACCATTCTGTCATTCTCATAGAAATATCTGGTGCATGCTGTTCTTATAGTGGCTGCTCTATAGTTTATTTCTCTCTTATTTTCAAGCTTTTTCTTACAATTTCTTTCTTCTTTCTACTTTCCAACTAAATACAGAGAGAAAAGTGTCCTTCAGTTTCTCAATATGAAGCCTTTATTTCTGAAGTAACAAGACACCTAGCAACTATAGGAACCATTTTTTTAAAATCTTAAAGGAGACTTTTTAACAATTCTTCGTGAATAGAGCAGGCAAGAAAAAACCTTCATTCCTTCCTTGAATCAAGGAGCTCTACTGGATTCAACTGCCAAAAGTTTTAGAAGGTTTTAGGACTTAACTATACATTGTATTTTTGAGCTCTACTGAATAAAGGACATTCTCTCACTGAGGACCAAGAGGTCAAGTGTTACAAGAAGTATTCTAAGAACAATCTACTTCTTTCATCATTTGTTCATGAATTTATCCATGTTTGCTTAATGCTAAGTATTAGCCAAAATCTAGCCATTTATATTTAGTTGTGTAAATCTAAATTAAATGCTGTAGTATTTTGTGGAATGTACTATATATCAAGATACAGAGAAAATCTTTTTGGCATGTCAGAGCCTTTTTTGGTTAGCAGACTGCATGTGTTGGTACTTTTTTTTTAAGGCCAATTATTTTGATGCACTGCAAAAGAAATTCAGTTTATAAAATACATCCAAAAAATCCATCATGAGATATAAATTATAAAAAAATTAGTGAAATTAATCTATGTTCTCCACTATGCTACACTAAATTCATACATTGACACAAAATAAAAGTTTTTCTGAAACATTTTTTAGTAAGATGGTTTTCCAACAAATAGCATTCCCAAGAAAAAACTGTTATGTTTTAACTCACTTCACTTCTTTGCTATTGGTTTATGTACATGTTTTTTTAACTTGAGAGCTGATTATTGCTTAAGAAGTTTTTTTATGGCAAAAAAGTGTAAATAATTTACTATGATCTGCATTTTGCCAGGGACTCACTTATTATTAAGGTTATCATTTATTAATAAGAATTTTTCTGTTTTTGTCCTTTATAATATCACATTAAAGTTGATAACTGTTATTGGTACTTTTGAAATCTTTGTATGTGTTTGTTACCATAAACATTTGGAAGAAGCACAAAAAAAGTAGATTTAGTTAGCCCAGGGAAACGTCAGTTTTTTTAGTAGTTCCAATTTTATATCACAGTTTTATTTTCTTATGAAGTCCAAAAAATACATTATTGCAAGTTCATTATTTAACCTAAATATCAAAATAATCTGAAATGAGAAAATACTATTTTTCACTTTAACAGTACACTTCTTAGGCTCTCGATACCAGCTCTAAAGAACTTTTTGGAATAATTCTGTATTTCATAATGTGTGGTTTGTGAACTATATGTATCATCACTTACCCAGTTACCAGGAGAAAAGCATCTTTCTGTCCCTCCCCTCTGTCTGTCTGTCTGTGTCTCTGTTTGGTAGGCCAGTAGCAGAGCTGTTTCTAGTCACCTTTGAAAAGACCATCAATAAAAAAGAGACAGCATGTTTGATTGACCAGAAATTTATATGAAAGTTAAGAGAGCTTGGATTTATTTAACTCAGTGCCACCATCAATACTGTAAAATTAAATCACTTTGAAACTCTTGGATGAAAGGTGCTAAGTAAGTAAATGTAAATACAAAGGGTTCTCACAGAAATACAAATATTGCACAATAGAAATATTAAAAAATCTATTCTCTAGACTTTGAACTATCTCTGTCCATCATGACTCCCTGAATTCAAGTATCCAGTTGGTAAATGTGTATCATGGCAGTCTAGAAACACTTGTGAAAAATGTAAATTCATTTTTGGTTGGACAAGTTGAAAGTAAATGTAGAATTATGTGTTAGCTAAATACAGTAAGTGGGTAACTTAGATTTATATTAACTAGCATCTAATTTGCACAACTAGGGCACATCCCAGGACAGTTATAAGTTGAAATTTAATGAGTGTGAAGGTGACCCAATAAGGGTGAATGATACCAGTTTTGACCTCTCCACAATACTAATCTCCTAATACAGAAAACCTGTGGTGTTAATCAGCACATTAGTGCTTCAAAAGAAAATGCTAAATGACAGCCTGACGTACTAAATCAAAGTCAGATGGCTGAGAAAAGAAGAGGCCAACCAAGGGAACACATTGAGACAGTAACATACAAATATTTCAATTATATTCATCACTTTTTTAATACCATTTTAAGAAATGACTAGATAATAACTACGTATTTACCTTCTCCAAAAGCTTCCTTTAGAAGCAAACTGTAAAAAGCCCCTCTTTTCCCTTACATAAACTTTTGCCAAACAAAATAGTAAAGCCAACTAGAAACTCACCAGGACTATTTCATATATTTCATTACCAGACTTGACATCCTTTTTGTAATCTGGCTATATTTTAAGTCAATGCCTAATGCCCCAAAGAAACTGAAAAACTCAGTATACAGGGTAACAGCTTCAGTCCAGAGCTCTAGTAATATGCTTCAGATCTGGCCATGTGGAAATATTTTGGTCCAAGTTTTTGAATGGGTGGTTACCAAGGAGTTCACAAGACAAGTTCTTATGTAGCACCTTTCATACAAGGCATGATGTAAAAGCCTATTTAAAAATCACTGTGCATATTACAGAATTGTAGCCACCTCATGAATGAATACCACAGCCTGTACTGTCTTAACAGTTATTTCAGGAAGGGAAAACAATACTGTACCAAATTTGGAATTGCAATGTGGACTAATAATGTATGCTAAATTACTTTTGTATTTTAAGTTACTTTTTATGAGAAAAGTGGTGAATTGTCTTTTTCTTTTCAGCTACTTAGCCCTGAGATGTATTTTTTTTAAGTTTTGAATAAATAATACAAAAGGAGCCCATTTTATAATATAAAGCTTGATGTACATGTTGAGATATTTGAACAATGAAAATGCCTTAAGAGGAAAAATGTTTAATGGAAAATGTTGCACTTATAACACCCTTTAACAACCTGATTTTAAACTGTCTTTCTTTTCTACTAAAGGTTCTCTTTTTCAGTGTTTGCCATTGTACTTAATGACTATTATTAAATACCAAATCAAGTAATATAAAAGGTGTAACATTTCCTTTAACACTAATGCTAATGAGGGATTTGGAGTTCTATGGTAAAATACATAGTATCAATCACAGGATGCCAACTCATGAAAAAACAACATTGTTTGTCTTTTTAAAAACATTCATTTTCATTTTAGTTATTAACTGTTTCTCCTTAAAAAATTCAGTTGGATTAACATTCACTTTTCTGATATAAAAAGAAATAAAATGGATAATTTTATAAGTGGTTAGTAATCATTTAAAAATTAAATTCTTTTAGCCAAGTATTACTCTTTGCCTCGAAGAACAATTTTCAGACACAGCTCTTTATTTTGTCCTAATCATTTTGAGAGGAGAATGTCAATTCTGTTGATCCCAAGATAGGTTTAAATACAATCTATAGTAGTCCCCCTTATCTGAGGAGGGATGTTCCAAGAACCCCAGTGAATGGCTAAAACCACAAATAGTACCACAGCCTGTAAATACTATTTTTTCCTTTATGTAGTAGCTATATTAAAGTTTAACTTATAAATTAGGCACAGTAAGATACTAACAATAGTAACTAATAAGACAATTTTTGTAACTATATCACAATAGGTTATGTGAATGTGGTCCCTTTCTCAAAGTATTGTACTCACTCTTGTGATACAACAAAATGTCTACATGATGAGATAAAAGTAAGGTAGGTGGGATCAGTGACGTAGGAAATATGACCTAGTAATAGGCTACTGCATAAAGGTTACTTGAACACTAGCACTGTGATACCATCATACTAGTCAGTCTGGTAGGGGCTACAAGTTTATAGTGTAGATACCCTGGACAAAGAAGTAATTCAATAATGAAATAATTCAATAATGAATGGTGAAATCCTATTTAGAATGGCATGCAATTAAAACTTAAGAATTGTTTATTTCTGGGATTTTCCATGTAATATTTTGGAAGTAGCTGACTATGGGTAACTGAAACTTCAGAAAGCAAAACTGCTAAGAAGTGTGATAGGCTGCACAAACGAATCTTTCATTTTCACTTAGACTTTGGGTGGGGGGTGGTAACTGACCTTGAATCTTTGGGCAAATCAGTCTCTTCCAAGCTCGTTTTCACTTTCAGATAACATATCCAAGGTCCACAGAGTATGCTAATTCCTTCATTTAATGTGCAAAGCAACCCAAAATTTTTGTATTAGAGGTATATACAGTACAAAGTAGGTAAAAACTAACATGGAACCCTAGAATAAGGTAGTCATTACTTTTATTTGCCTTTCAGTAACAAGTAGATGCAAGCTAAATACAGTATCTCTACCAGTTTATTTTTGAAGAATCAAACAGGAAAGTATGGTTAACAAGCACAAAGCCCTGAGTTCAAAGCTCAGTACTGCCAAAAACAAAGCTGAATATCCCATTTGATTGTATTAGAGGAAAATACGAGATTTTTTTTTTTTTATGACAAGTTGAGGCATGTTTGTAGTCTAACTCATATTAGGTATTCAACTAATGAAGGCTTTTGTTTGACTCCAGGATGAAAAAATATCAGACATTCTCGTTTTGCATGCTTTTGAACTAGCCTCTATTCACAATTGCCTTTACATTTTCCTAGGCTTTAATACTGTTCTGTTATCGTAATTGAAAGGGGATAAATGAAGCTATTCTAGAAATAACGAGAGTACGATACAAAAGAAACTCTACATTTCTAACCCCTGAACAAATAACAAGTCCTTTTTAATGGCATAATGTATATTTTGTTACTAAGTTTTAAAATGTATTTTTAATAGTATGATGATTGTAACATTTTGCACCCAGAGTTTGTTTTTCTAGATTAAAACTTTTGTTTTACAGAAAGTTCTTCCACTGAAGAAAAAAAAAAATCAGTTTAAAAACAAGCTCCCGACAATGGGGATAGAAGGTTTTTATCCTTACCCCAAGTTTAATTATCTTGCTGGGCAATCTTTATTCCTGAATCGTCATTTTCCAAAAATAACCACTATCAACAATTTAACATATTCCTATATTCCTTTGGGGGTTTTCCCCCCGCTGTATCCTATACACTATCATGTTTAACTTTATACATAGTTTTATAACTTGCTTTTTTTCAAGTACAATAAACACTATAAAAATGCAAGCTAGTTAATCTTAAAAGTATTTCTAATTGCCAGGCACTGGTGGCTCACGGCTATAATCCTAGCTACTCAGGAGGACAGTGGTTCGAAGCCAGGCCAGGCAAATAGTTTGTGAGACCCTATCTTAAAAAAACCCATCACTTAAAAGGGCTGGTGAAATGGCTCAAGGTGAAGGCCCTAAGTTCAAACCCTAGTACCACAAAAAACAAAAAGTGCTCCTAATTATTAAAGGAATCCCTATAATGAACAATTGTCAAAGGGGTTGGGAGACATAATCTCTGACGTGACCAAAACTACCTCTTTTTTCTTGGGGCGGGGGGGAAGAGGGGGAGTGACAGAGGTAGTACTGGGGCTTGAACTCAAGGCCTCATGCTTGCTAGGCAGATGCTGTACCATCCAAAGCCACATCTTTAGCCCTGTCTTTCTGGAGTTTGAATTCAGGACTGTACTTACAAAGCCACATCTTCAGTTCATAAACTATTTGCCTGGGCTGTCCTCAAACCATGATCCTTTTCCAAGTAGCTAGGATTATAGACATAAGCCACCAGCATCAGGCTTCCATCTTTTTTTATCAAGGTTTTTTTAAGATGAAAATCCCTTTAAAATGATAGTCCCCAAATCAATGGTACCATTCTATCGGTTCTTTCTTAAAATTACAGGTATAAAAAGAGCTTTCAGAAAAGTATTCTAAATGTGAGCCCAGTTAGTTTTTGTCAAAATTTAGTATTATGGGATCATGACCTGTTTTCTTGACAAATGTGAGGAAGTCTTCAGGGCTCAATCCCATGGTTGCAGCATTGGTCATTGGATGAAAGTATACCTTTTCATGTCCACCCTCGAGAAAAGCAGAATCCAGTACAAATTTCACATCTCCATCATCACAGAAGAGTGCTAGAGGTGTGGCACAGCCTTGACCAACTTTTAGTTTTTCTAGCATGGCTGTTTCGTCGGCAAACCGCAGATTTCCACTCCCAACACCTAACTGCTTGGCAAGATCATTTAAATTAATTTGTCTATCATGAAGAACTGTCACCAGCCAATAGCCTTTTTTCTTCTTGTCTTTAAGAAATAGGTTCTTACTATGTGCTCCTTTCAAATGTTGGATATGAGGCATCATTTCTTCAACTGTAAACACCTATAAGATATCACATGAAGAATTTAGAAATAAAGTAACATGTATATCTATCTATATATAGATAGATAGATATAGATACAGATATACACACATACATATACCTGGATTATTTTGCTTGCTGGATGAAAACAAAGTTAGTGAGTACTCTGAATTTAACTGGCAGAGACTCATCTCTAGCCCATTACCAAATATTCGAAAACTCCTGCCATCTCAATTCCTCATATCAGGGCTGGGATCATGTGGTTCAAGTGGAAAAGTGGGCCTAGCAAATGCAAGGCCCTGAGTTCAAACCCCAGTACCACCACCAAAAAAAAAAAGTCCTCATGTGACCTCAGACCAGAATTCTATTCCAATCCCACACATTCCTGAAAAGCTTTTGTTTTTTTTTAAACTTTTAGTACTAAAAGTTTACATCAGTCCGAGACTTAGTACTTCCATTACCTCTAGACCATATGACAACTTCCACTCTACAAACATGTAACCACAGTGAGGGTTACAAAATAGTAAAATCTTGGACTAACACATAAAGAACAAAAAATCTATCAATATATACAGGTAAAGAATGGAAGGAGTTTGACTATATAGGAGGAAGGTTAGAAAAAAATGTAATTTTGATGTTAAATATGCAAAGGTGAGGAATGCTGACATTATTTCTTTACTCTTTGAAGGCTGCCATTTTAGCTATTCTCGAATGTCACTCAGGTTTGCACACTGGTTCCATAAAATACTTGCATATAAATCTTCACATCAGTGCACTAAACCATGTTAAAATTTTATGGTACATTTTTGTAACTACCTTGGGGGGAAGGGGTAATTTTCACCATGCTGCAAAAGTATAATGAGTAAGTTTTGTGATTAAACCGACCAAGGTAGCAAAATACCAAACCGTCAACCCTCACGTCCTGCTTTACTGATGGTGCCTGACACATCGCAGCCACTGAACAGGCGGTTCACCGCTTAGTAACTTTACTTATATAAAGAGTCTATGTACAAACTGACATCCCTGATCGGATTAACACAAGTTCTCCACGTGTCGCACTAAAGCTAACTTGGTGAAAATTTAAGATTTCTTACGATAACCTCAGTCCCCAGTCAAAGAACCTCTGCTGTCCCTGCCGCATCGCTTTCACCCTCTTGAACCCCGGAAATGCTCTACTAGCATTCCCGTGTGAGCCGTGGCCCCTTGGTCTTAGCGGCAGTGTACACGTCTTCGGCAAGAGCTGTCTCAGCGGTCACCCCTAAGGCAGGAGCCTCACCTCGGGGTGCTCCACAACCTCTGTGCGGATGGCAAGGGCGCCTAGCCGCTGCTCTAGCATTGCCCGTAAATCCGCACCGGCCATCACGCTGCCACGCCGACAGACCCTGTGGAGGAAGCGCCTGGAGAGGTATCGGCCGACGCCGGAAGCCCGGTGTCTCCGAGGCAGGGCCGCGCTGGCTCCGCCCCGCTCTGCGTCCGCGCACGCGCCGTGGGAGGCTCGGCCGGCGGGGAGTGCGCTGCGTAGTGTCTGATGCCAGCGAAGAGGCGCAGGTGTGCTCACAGCCCTTCGTGACCTACTGCGAGCTTGCGGGCCTGCATCTCCTCCCCAGCCCGTCTTGGGCTGGGCCCCATCTGCTAAGGCGTCAACTGTACTTTGTAACTTACAGCTTTATATTTTACTTGTGACAGTTTTTGTTACTCGTCTAGAAGAAAGTAGCAATGCTAAGACCCGCCGTTGGTCGTGAGATTCAACCACCTTTTGTGGCCGGTTTCAGCTCTCCGCGGAAATCCTTGCTTACCTTCGGAGGGAGGCTTGCAGTTGCACGTTAGGGTTTCACTTACGAATTCAGATTAAGGTCCACAGGAAATGATGCTATACTTGGGGACATATTGACCTTAGTGAGTTGGGGTCATTCTAGAATGCAGACCTGAAGGAGGACTCCTCTAAGACACAGCAAAGCGGCTGCGACCTCCCCCGAAGCCTTGAAAGAAACCGCAAAAGGGGAATTCAGAATTCACTTTACAATTTCACTCACAGCTGGCTCTACACGGCACAATCTCAAAACTCAGTTTAATCTACATCTTGAGCCATGTTTCCCTTGAAAACATACAGTTTTTGGGGGGGAGTGTTCCCATTAAATCCAGGGCCTTGCGATGCATGCGCCCTACCCTTGTATTACACCCCCAATCTCCATGCATCCCTTTGATTTCTGATATAAAACCAAAAACAGCCGGGAGCCAGTGGCTCGCGTCCATAATCCTAGCTACTCAGGAGAGAGAGATCAGGAGGACTGCAGAGTGCCTCAAGTGGTAGAGTGCCTGCTTAGCAAGTGTGAGGCCCTGAGTTCAAACCCCAGTACTGCAATAAATAAATAAAACCAACAACAGGCCATTTCCCATAGCCTCCTAAATTCAAGCAGCATACCACATTTCCAGGGTGTTTCATTCAGTGTGCATGTAATTGCCATTCTGGTTATGTCTTTCCAGTCAGTTTTGTTTTGTTTTGTTTTACAGTACTGGAGTTTGAACTCAGAGCCTCCACTTGCTAAGCAGGCACTCTACCATTTGAGCCACTCGCTAGCCCGACCTGTGTATGTGTTTAGTATTTTTGAGTTAGGCTCTTGCTTTTTGCCCAGACTGGCCTCAAACCATGATCCTCCTGATCTCAGCCTCCTGAGAACCTAGGATTACAAGGTGTGAGCCACCAGCGTTCGTTTTCTTGAGTGGTTTTTTTTGTAGGGGGCGGGTTCTGGGGCTTGATCTCAGGGCCTCCCGCTTGCCCTTTTTTTTTTTTTTTTTTTTTTGTCGTACTGGGACTTGAACACAGGGTCTACACCTTGAGCCACTGCACCAGCACTTTTTTGTGATGGATTTTTTCGAGATAGGGTCTCAGGAACTATTTGCCTGGCTGGTTTCAAACTATGATCCTCCAGATCTCTTGTCTCCAGAGTAGCCAGGATTATAGATGTGAGTCACTGGTGCCCAGCTGGCTTACCTTCTTAAACTTGTAAGTATTTTCCTCAGTTCCTACACTGTCTTCCTATTTTAATAAAGATATATTATGTGGCTGGATCATAACACTTTATGTATGCATGCATGTAGTAGAAAGGGCCCCATGAATGTTAAGCAAGTGCTCTACATTCCCAACCCTGAGTCATAACTTTCTTATCCATTTCCATCCTTATTGTTAATGAATCTTTACATTCTAAAGTGCTTTCCAAAATAATTATTCTAATTTATAATTTATTAGCAACATAGTAATTAAGCCATATTTTTCCCAAATTTTGCAGACGAAAGGACACCTTATTGTTTAATGTGCATTTTGCCATTATCAGAAGCCTGCACATTTCTTCATGATTATTATTTTATTTCCCCTTTTGTGAACTAGCTTTGTTCATATCCTGACTCATTTATCCATTGAATGAATTATTGATGGCTTTTACACTAATCAAGTTACCTGCCTTTTGTTTATCATATCTCATCCAAATAGTTTTCCTGTCTTTCTTTTTGAGACAGGGTCTCACTATGTAGCCCAGACTGGCCTTAAACGCAGGATCTCCTGGCTCTGCCTCCCCAGTGCTGGTATTACAGGATTGCACAAACATGTGCAGAGCAGTTACTCATTTTTATGTAACTAAATGTCACTGTTTCCTTTTTAAGTTTTTCTAATCTAAATTTAGAAAATTAACATCCCAGCAATAGACTATTCGGTCTATTTTTTTAATATTTAAATCATTAAAATATTTAAGCTGGGTACCAGTGGTTCACACCTATAATCCTACCTCCTTGGGAACCTAAGATCAGGAGGATCACAGTTCAAGGTCAGCCCAGGCAAATAGTTCAAGAGACCCCCATCTCCAAAAATAACCACAGCAAAATGGACTGAAGGCATGGTTCAAGCAATAAAATGTCATTTTGCAAGTGTGATTCCCTGAGTTCAAATCCCAGTCCAACAAAAAAAAAATTTTATTTTGGCATATTTGGTGGGGCGGACTCACTTTTTTCGAAAGGTTTCTTGCTAAAAATAGAGTTAGCAAAGATCATCCATTTGAAGAAATGGCATGTCCCAAATGATTATCCTTAAATGTCTGGAGCCTTTCAATAGTACTTAAATCCAGTCATGGACTCAACAAGGAAAAGAAGAAATTGAAATCTGATTGTAACTGAAAAAGTGTAAGTTATGTCCAAAAGTAAGAAAACATTAATCAAGGGTAGGGTCTCTATGACAGCTACAAAAGAGGAACACAACCAGGTGCCAGTGGCTCATACCTATAATCTCAACTACTCAGGAGGCAGAGATCAGGAGGATCATGGTTCAAAGACAGTCCAGGCAAATAGTTCGAGAGACCCTGTCTCAAAAAACCCCTTAAAAAAAAAAGTGGGTCAAGGTGAAGGCCCTGAGTTCAAGCCCCAGTACCAGAAAAAAAGAAAAAAAAAGGAACACAAAGAGAATAACTTGGCAATGACAACCAACCCATTGTCCAGGTAACAAAGTGCTCTGACCTAGAAATCTCTTGGGAAATAAACTGCCATCCATCAGCTATATAAGCCATGAACCCCACCCCCATCCCTATAGCTAATCCATCACAGTTTTAATTTCTGAAATCCTTCATTCTTTATAACCTCCATAACCCAAACTACTACCATTTTCCCCCAGCTGACACTAATGGTTTGTTAACTTTACTCTGTGATTGAATGACTAAGTATCCTGAACCAAGAATTTTACAACCAAAGACTTTTTTTGAGACAGGGTCTCACTATATAGCCCAGGCTGGCCTTGAACTCAGGATCCTTCTGCCTCCTGAGACAAGCAAAGATTTTTATTATGAAATAGAACGAATCTATCTGTGGTGAAAGAACTTCATATCACTGTTCAAAAAGTACTATCACATGAAGCACCAGTGGCTCATGCCTGCAATGCTAAGTTACTTGGAAGGCTGAAATGGGGAAGATGGTGGTTCAAGGCCAGACCAAGCAAATAATTCAAGAGATCCCCACCTCCAAAATAACCAGAGCAAAATGGGGTGGAGGCATGTCTCAAGTGGTAGAGAGCCTGCTTTGCAAGTGTGAGGTCCTGAGGTCAAACCCCAGTTCCAGCAAAAACAAACCAAAACAAACAAACAAAAACCTACTACCACACCTCAGGTTTAATGCAATATTTATTAAACAACATGAGCATTTTCTTTTGACAGCACTGGGGTTTGAATCCAGGGTTTTGCTTGCTAGGCAGGCGCTCTTACCATTTGAGCCACTCCACCATCCCACAACATGAACATTGACAACAGTGAGCACTGCATTAAATACAGAAAAAAAAAAAAAGCTATCCTTGGCATAGTCCTGTTATCGAGGCAAATAAAAAAAGAGGTTAAATTCAAAATTATCTAGAGTGAACTAGAGGAAATAGTTATCTAAATCATAGAAACTGAACGTAGAATCTCAAGATTCTATAAGACAGGTGACATCTGATAATTAATGAATAAGAAATCTTGTGGTATTTTCACAAGAAAAACTGAAGGAAATGTTGCCAGTGGGTGGAGTCTGTGATCAGAAGACTACCAAATTCTTTGGGGACGAATCCATGGCAGGACACATGGGTGTAAACGGAGCTTATTAAAAGGGAAGGGAAACACAAAAGGAAGCATGGTGGGATGCAGGTGGAATCTAGAGGCTGAGAGGGTATGCTTCTCTTCTGCATGTGCTTTAAAAACCTACACTAACCTATGGGAAGGGAGGAACCAGGTGATTCCCACCCAATAATCAATGAGTGGGGAGGGGATGTGTGGTTGCCTGGCCAGGTGAGGGCGGTGCCTGAGCCAGAGCATGGTCAATCAGAGATGTAATATTTCTCTATGAATCCTGGACTTTCCCTAATTTTAGCCTGCCTTAGAAAGACTTGGTATCATTAGGAGTGTAATACTTGGCAGATATGGATGATTTCTGGAAAGGAGCTAAAAGATGGAATTATACCAAGGTCCATGAAACAAGGGACCCTCACATCTACTCAACATAAAGAGACAAGTACTACAACGATAGCCTACATGAGAAAATAAACAGGCCAAAGTTGTAAGGTATTACCAACACCCAGAGGACTGCACAGAATTGCACTTACTACGTAAAGAATGTTAGAAATCCTCACTCTTGAATGAAATAAAGGGCAGTTGTAGAACAGGTAAGTTGAAAGCTACCTAAGAAAGCTGTGTATACCCAAAATAGCAAATAAGAAAATGTTTTTTAAATGCTACAACCCATGTCTCTTCAGCACATTTTTGGAGCATCCTTTGTGTATGTGTGTGTGTGGTACTGGGGCTTGAACTCAGGGCCTATACCTTGAGCCACTCCACCAGCCCTTTTTTGTGAAGGGTTTTTTCAAAATAGAGTCCTGCACACTGGCTTCGAACTGCGATCCTCCTGTTCTCTGCCTCCTAAG